CTCCAGATGAATGGACGAGTTGGGGATGGGGAAAGGTTGTGTGTGTGGGGGGGGTGGGGGTGCGGGATGAGATGGTGGTGTTAAGCTGGTTCGAAGCCAAGATAACCAAGGTCATTGACCATTTCTTCCCCCCCCCCCCCCAATTTTCCCACACTCTTGCCTCTCTCAAGGCTTCCGTGTCAATAAATATTGACCTTCTGTGGTCACTGGTTGAAATTGGTGGTCGCATTGACCCCCCATCCCCCGTCGTTTGTTACCGCTTCGTGTATCCCCGCAACTCATCGCCACAACATTATGTTTGTAGGTCGATAAACCAGTCCTGGTCAATGGGGGTCTATCACACGCCCAAATTCACTAACAAATGGTGAGCTGTATGAGATTGTATCGTGCTAACAGCGCGCCTGACAATGAAGATCACACTACACAGGCGAGCTAAAAATCTTCAGGTCAACCCGACCTTGAGAATTTTTGCAGACAGATCCGGTAAAAAAAACAAAAACATAACATATGGGCACAAAGCTATAAAAATAAAGTCATTACTTTCATAATTTATTTAAAGGTGTTATAATTGATTGCTCGGCAGATTTTTCGGTTCAAGTGGATTATGTGTCGGCATCCAGAGTGATGTTTTAAAAAAATATATATATTAACGGTAACCGTATCTTCTCAGTTGGTTCTCAGATTTTATGCTGTATGTTCACTTCCATCACCGAGTATTTTTTGTGGTCTGATAGATACTTTCAAAAATATTTTTGTGTGTGTGGTAATTTGCGATAGTTAGTATTTTTATGTTTTATATCTGGGTGGGCCAGGGTAAATGCGTATAAACAAATGGATGGAGACATGTCTTATTTACTGCTCTCAGACGCACCACACTTCCATCAAATAAGTCTTTTGTTAATTTTCGGTTGGTCAACGCCCCTTAGGGTGTGTGATGTCTCATTGACAAGTGGCGTACTCTCATTTCATTATCTCTAAAATTTTTGTATTAACCTTCTGGTGAACACCCAGTTAAAGTAATATTACTATGGCCTCGTTTCGGTCATTCAAACCAGTTGTTTATTAAAGAATAAATCATGCCATTCTACCAACGTTTTAGGAATCTCTGTCGAGGCTGTACTCCCTGACCCCTGACTGACACAACAGACACAATTACCTGTACACGTAATAAACTAAGCTTGCCAGTATCGTTGCTGACATTTAGCTGACCTCTCGTGACCCAGTTGTCCCCACCCCCACCTCAATTCACTCTACAACCACTTGATTCAATCAAAGCTGGTTCCACCTTCGCAGCCCACCACGGGATAACAGTGCACCAGGCATATATTCTTTTCGTTACGGTGGCTTTGATAACATACATAATTCTTGAGTTTCCTACTCCTGCATCCATCTCCCAATACCTTTTTTTAAACGATACCCCACCCCATTTTCTCCTGTGCTGGTCGTGGGTGGATGGGGAAGTAACATTTACATTGTTTCATTATATGTTTTCATTTCCTTTGACATTTTAATGATTTTGATTTATATCCTTATTTATTTTAGCAAGGTAATGTGTTAAAATTTTATATGAAAATTCCTATTCGTGTATGTTATAGACCAGTCAACATACGGTCCGTGGGCAGCATGTGGCCCGCCAGCACCCACTTAACGGCCCGCGATGTATCGAAATATTAGTTATTCTTATTTTCTTTATAGCATTTGGCCCTTACAAGTCCTGTTCTATTTTCTTTTGGCCCGCACAAGTTTTTCATATAGTATTACAGCCCGGCTTACATTTTGAGTTGTGCATGCCTGTTCTAGACAGTCCTTAATATGATTCACTTTAACTCGAATAATATGCTTCACTCTTACTCTTATAATATGCTTTTCTCTTAGTCAAGTAATATGCTTCAGTGTTACTCAAAAAATATGCTTCAGTGTTACTCAAATAATATGCTTCACGCTTACTCTAATTTTACATGGGTTATTTAAAACATACGTTAAAGACATAATTTCATTAGTAACTAGGAGTGTAGATTAAGTTTGACATCGGTTCTTAATGTTTTACTGCCAATTGGAGTTCTTCAAATGCGTGCGTTTTTTTTAGCACTTAGTCACTCATTTAACCGCACCCTCATTTTCTTGAAGGAAATATTAGTCTTTCACCAACCAAAATCCACCCGGGCTGTATTTAACTGACTACCGGCACCTGTAAGAATATAATTCTTTCAGAAATATAAATTAAAATTCTTTTGTACAAGATTCCAAATACTGTACACTTTCCATTGCCACTTCATTAATGCAGCATTTGTTCAGCAATTAATAGTTATAACTTGGCAAATAAAATTAGTGAAAATCTCAGTCTCATTTATGCTTAAAGGCTTAAAAACAAAAAACATCGTGAGTATGTATGAATGTATCGTGTGTAAACCAAAGTATCGATAGAACAGCCTGTGCAGCTACATTTACTTTTTTTAAAAATTCAGAGTAATACCTTTGATCCAGCGGTTCTTTACCTGTGGTCCCATGGACCATGTTTAGTATGATGGATATTAATTAAGATACATTAGATACTATGCGAATGGGGATTTTTTTTTTCAATTATCAAATTGTATCTACTAGTTTAATTCAGTTGTTTCAAAAGCTTAATCTTTCTTTCAGAGGTCCATCTGAACACATGGGGTCGTTGATAAATAAACGGACCAAGAAGCTTAGTACTGCACATGTGCTTTTGTTGTCAAAACGGTATTAGTTTTCCAACATTATGTTTAAATAAAAGGGGGACAATTTTTAACACATCATGAAATTTTAAATTGAAATGTGAACTGTACCTGCACTCCCTCGTTAAATAGATGTTACATAAGCCGGTCACTTAATCTTTCATTTGGATCTTCTCCCCCCCCCTCCATTTTTTTTCCCGCCCTCCCCCACCCAGTGAACACCGCGCCGTGTCAGCAGCATCAATGGATTTACGGTATCAAAGTAAAACTTAAAGAAAAAAAGGATTATTCTCTGCGTGAGATTGTAAATTGGCTTCCACATCTCCCAAGCCTCGCTACTCCACTGATGAATTGAAAAGAAATTGAGTGGGGAAAAAAAACTAGGAGAGGAAAATGTTAAAACCACACAATGCTGAGGGGGCGGTAGTGGGATGGTGTTTGTGTAGATATTGAGGACGTGCTGGTGGTGGGGGTGGTGTGCTGGTTAAATTTTTTTTTTTTTCAAGCTAACGTTTGACAGCTGGTTTCTGAGAACACAATAAATAGAACAGCAAGTGCCTGCAATAGAATGCGCACGCGATGACCCCTTGGTATTTCTGTCTCTCTCTCCGTCTTTAATAATGGGGTCACGACTTACCCTTGAATTTTTTTTTTTTAAGCTATTGCCAGACACAGATTATGTTGTTGTTTTTTTTTCTCCCCTTCCCCAAGGGAGATAAAAACGTCTGAAAAAGCCTTGTGAATGACTGTTAAATCTGTGGTTGTAATTATTGTATGCTGTCAGTCAGACCTGACAACCTTTTTGTTCCCATTATTGTTGACACCCCTAAAACAAGGTTTACTTTCTGTATGTAGCAAGGTTCAAATTCCATTTGGATATACTAATTATCATTTTAAAGATTGAAGTTTATTTTAAAAACCTCTAGTCTCAACATACGTACAGGAAGAAGCTTTATTTAATACCTTTTCATACATACCAGGATTCTTCATACATACAGGGATTCTTTACATTTATTTAATTTGGGTTTTGTTTAGATGAAATAAAAGAAATTAGCACAGGTACTAACACCAGGAAGAATTTAGATAATCATTTGAGAACAATAATGTGTTAACAATTTCATTAGGGGAATCAAAAAATCAAAACAAATTCAACAGGGACATCATTTTTTGGTTAACATTTTTTTATTGTTCTTTGTACATTGAGATTTGAGTGGCTCTTATATTTCTTACAATTTTATGTCTTAAATTCGTGTTTCCCATTGTTAGTATCGGTAGTTTAATACATTTTGTGTGGTCATAAATTGTTGTATAGGAAGTTGTGAAAATGCATGTATTTAAACGTTTTTACATAATTGTGGATGGAAACATGTTAATCAGTTTAAAAAAATAGGGCAGGGAGTTATGGTTAGTAGCATTTAAAAAAAATTTGACTTCAATTTTTTCTTTTAAAGTTATATTATGTCTACTTCTCATTGTTGTCTTTTTAATAGATAAAAATTTAAACACTGCCACTGAATTTGTAATAATTTTCACTCAGATATGTGCATGTAGTGATGAGTTAATTAGTGTATGTTGGCTAATGTGTTTTGAAGCTTATCATTTGTAGATTTCCATGAAAAGAATCCACTTTATTTTATTCCAAGGAACCTTGAAATTTTTTATTTTTTTCTATAGATCATTCTTTATATTTTGTTGAGAGCTTCATAATAGTTTTATGCTACCAGTTGTTTTTTTAAATGTGAAAGGGATCTTAACTTATTTATATTTTTTAAGAAAAAGTATATACTAAATTGCACTTATCCTTCCTATTTGGCAGCATGGTGAGAAGAACATTTTAGTTCAAGTCTTCTTGTGTGATGATTTATTCAATTAATCAGATGTTTTATAATTAATTTATAAATGTAACATTTTCACTGGAGATTTTTTTAACACCTATAACAGTCATCATTGCAACAATATAATTTATTTGCTTTAAAATATTATTTGACATGAATAATGCAATGTTTCCTCCCAAAAAGTATTTCGTCTATTAAAAGCTAGGAGAAAATCCAGCACTGGTCACAAAAAATTATGAAGTTTTTTTTTCTTTTTCAATTTAGCTAATTTTTCTACTATAAATAATGGACAAATTCTTTACAATGTAAATAAAGTGTATAATAGTCTGCTCCTAAATGTTTAATTTTGTAAAATTTATTAATTTGTTGATATATTATTTTAAAATAGTAAGATACTTATTTTTTGCATTCTTCTTGGCTAAAAATAATATTGTATTTAGTCAAATTTAATTGTTTATTTCATGCATATTTTCAGTCTGGCGGCAACAACGAGATGAGCCAAGGCCGCCGGCCAACGATGGGTGGCACCTACCCCCAACAGGGCGGCCAATATATGGGCCAACAGATGGCCATGGGGCCAGGGCCTGGTCCTCAGCGATTTATGATGGGTGGACAGGTAGGAATATGGATTCATTTATGAACTAAATTTTAAAGCATTTTACTTTGAAAGTGCAACTTCTTTCACAACTTCTTTCACTATTTTATTATCAAGACCCAAGACAAAGTTGATAAATAAAAGTAATTAATTTTTTTAAAATTATTAAACAGGCCTCTTCTAATTCAGTCATCTGACAGGTTTTGATAGAAAAAAATGTTTTAAATATTTCATCATTTGTCATGCTAAAACTCATGTAGGGCCTGGCCTGCTCCACTACATTTTTCCATTTTTTTTTATCCATGAATTTCTGCCATATAAATTTGTTTATAAGTATATTTTGGTTAGGATATAAATGTAATTTTGTGCTAAAGGTTTGTGTTGTTCTTCAACAGATACCAAATCAGATGTTTGGCCATCCACCATCACAGCCCCAGATGTACATGCCCCCCTCTCAGCAGCCCCCGGGACCACCACTCTCACCTGCAGCCCGACCCCCAACCCCACAACAGTCACAGTTACAACAGATGCAAAATATGGTCCAAAACTCCCCCAAACAACCCTCTCCGTCACTATCAGATCATGGCTCAGTATATGTAAGTATTTAAAATGAGGAAAAGAAACAACCCCCACCAACCATCAAAGACCTATTTATAATGGTCAACTGATGTAAAACTAGCATTCTAAACTCTTCCTGTGTTAAAAAGGGCAATCTTTAGCTGGAAAGGAGAAAACCTAAATAAAAAGGGATGTCAGGACGTCAAGCAATTGTATAGCTGATTCGAATTGAAATAAGAATCTAATGACAGTGATCCAGTTGTCCTTGTCTGTCGTGGGGTTATATTACATCAACATTATTACATTTTGTTCAGCATTAAATTGAATTTAAATTGTTTTTTTATGCATACATTTTTTTCCCACACCAATGTATAAATTTAAATCTTATCGTTTACTGAATGAAATAATACATAAATTCATAATGATCATTTTAAAATTTATTTAAAAAGTCAAAATAATTTTATTTTACAGTCGATGAAACAAGAAGAAAATAGTCAAGACATGAAATCGGTAAGTACATTTCAGATAGGTTGACTTAAGTAGTGGGCATTCAGGACAGATTGTTTCTAGTTTGCCGGGAAACAGTTGGACAGCTCAAATTTAATACATGTTATTGTTTGTGTTATGCTTAGCCACAAAATCAATAGTCAAACACTCAGTACATAAGATAAACATTTCATAGTTGGATTTGATGAACTTATAAAAATAAATTTGAGGGGTGTTCGGATCTCTTGATATGACACTTAGCTGAAACTTTCAAAAAACAATCCTGCAAAGATCTTGTTTTCAAACAACATAAGCTCTTTTTCTCTGTAGCCAAAGAACTGTGTAAATGTATGTGAAAGTGTTAAGATTGCCAGTGTACTTGTGCTGTCAGCTAAGCAAGTTTTCAAAGTGGGATTTGGTTGTTTTTTTATGTTCTTTTGTCAGAATGAGAATAGAGACATTTTGCTGAAACTTAATGGAAGAAAAGAACTTTGCTTAAAAACATATATGAGGTCACTGCTTTGTTGTTAAAATAGGGTTTCTGTTATCTCAACTCTTGTTAATTTCTTCTTATCCCATCCCCATGTCAAATGAATATAATTTCATTGAAACATATGATAAAATATCTAGTGAAACTCCCAAAATAATTTCAAAATGAGACTTAATTGTTTTGGTAGGTAAAATCACAATTATTTTTGCTCATACAGCTTCCTATGGATGCAACTAATTTTGGATAGAGCATTTAGTAAATTAGTATCCATTTTCTAAGCTCATGGGTGGCACTAGGGCAGCACAAGTGATAAAACAAAGGGATATGATAAAACAAGGCACCACTTTATAGAGTTGATGTCATAAACCAGAGTCACAGAGTGTAGTTATCATGTTTCAGTCACTGCCAGTTGCTGGCAAAATTGCAAGGATGGCATCTGCCTGTACTGAATAAAATACAAACAATAAAATTGTTCATAGTTTTCTTAATGAAACAATACCTTAACTTAAGTTTACTCTGATGCCATCTGAATGTCAGACAGGTATACAATATTTCATTAAGTTTTTTTAAAGAATATATTTATTTATTATAAACACTTTCGGATGAAAAAAAAAGAAGAAATATTTTGTTTTGACATTTGGCAAATTTAAATTTATTTCCCTACACTGTCATTATATTATATTAAATTGTCGAAGATGAAAGGGCAATTAAATATTATTGTTAGAGAGCAGATATCCATGTTGCTCGCAAGAAATAATGCCACTGAGTAATACAGCTGGTAGTGACTTTGGAGCATGTCAGTCTCAATTACTATTGTTTTTAAATGATGGGTTGAGTGTGTCTTGTGGTAGAAACAAGGTTCATGAAACTGAGCTCTTCATATAAGTGGCTCTGCATTAAAGCCTTTGTTATTACACATGCTCTGGGAATTAGCCAAAGTTATTTGAAATTTCCTTAATCTGTTGTTGTTTTTTTTTTGTTTCTGGCCCTATAAGCCAGAATTTTTTTTTCCTATAACTGTACTAACAAAAAATTATTTAAATAAAACTCTTGTCTTATTATATAAAAAAAAGACTGTAAAAACTTAGACTTGCCCCGCACATTTTTTTTTAATAAGCTTAAATAGTAAATATTTCTTACTGCTGTTTGACATGTGTAAGCAGATATAGCATATAGCAGAAAATTAAATATACATATATTGTATTTGTAAAGGATGATTTAATTTTTGTTTTAAAGCATAATCGTTAATTTCTGACTTAAATGAAGACTTCACACGTTGGCTCACTCACTGGCTGAGGGGACTATGGTAGAAAAGTGATTTCGAACCCTGACATTAAAGAATTATTAGCTACCGACCACCTTATCGCGGCGTGGCCTACTTACACAGTGTTTCTGAAGTTGCATGACTCAACAAGTGACCCAAAATATTTAAAATAAAATGGTTTAAAATAAGTTTTGAAGCTAGAGCAGAAGACGGAAGGAGAATGCTAATACAAGTTTATTTCATCCAAGCTGTAGTTCAGTTTAGAGCACTGTACTTTATAAACAAACCAAAACTTTTCCTCTTTGTTTTGTTTTTTAATTGTTGGTGTGGGGGGGGGGGGGGGGGAGTCACTTCGTTGTGTTACGCAGTCACAAATCAGACTCGGGTTGGCGTGCTTCTACGTTTGTCCTACTCCGTACATAAGGCTAGACCAGGCTGTATTCTGCTTAGCTAGTAGTGTCTATGAAAAGTGTCGCTCTTCAGGCTCTTCGGGTAATATTTGCACACCATATCTTGCTGTTATCTTATGGGAAAAGGGGGGGGGTCGAATCCGGAGACCCACCAAAGACAATGTTTCAGCAGCTTTATACCGCGGACCTTCTCTGTTCCAGGAGGCGCTCGCTTCATTCTGGGTATGAGCATGTCCTAATACTAATAGTCGCATGCAACCCACCTGTAGCCGACTGGCAGCAATGAACCGTGACCTGCTTTAGGACAGGGTTATAAAATAGTTTAAATTTTTTTTTTAACTACTGTTCCGCTTCATAATTATATTCATTGTATCTGAGTATAACGTGGTATAATAATGCGGTGTTTCCACAACAGTTTATCCGCCTTTGAGTCTTTGCTAGTTGTATTATATAAATAAGCTCGTAAACTCCTGCCTATAAAACTGTTCAAACATGACTAGAGCTCTTTTAGGCGTGGTGCACTGGTTCTTAATGTTTTATCTTTTAACGAAACAAATTTTAAATTGACATTCCAATGTAGCGGCTTGTGAAATTGCCAGCGATGACTTCATATGCACACATATAAAATATATCATAATAAATGGTTTGCGTTCAAGCTGTGTGAATGAAATAATATAAAATACATCAACTGCATTGAAGCCCGGACTTGGTCAGTACAGCGTAGACATGGAAGGGGCCACCACTCTACAGACGGCTTCATTGTAGCTGTTTCTTACCACGTTAAAATGAAACCCATGTGAATATTCAGGGAAATACAGAACACGTGTTCAGATTTGGAAAGCCTTCTTTTCAAGAACAATGATGTGATTTAATTATTAATATAGACTTGCTGGCTTTCACAAATTATTACAGAAAGAGAGGGGGGGGGGGCTTTTAAATACCTAATATACTCTGTGCATGGTATAATTTATATACGGTTTTGTGTGGGGTGGGGTACATTTGCCGGGGAGTTGTCTCCCGACACCTATTATACTTAAATCAAATTTGAAACTCAGGGTGACAGTCTTTGAGTCTGCCCATTTGGGTTAGTCTGCCTATCAGGGACGAACATAATAACTTTATTAAAGTATACCATTACAACTTAATATAACCGGGAAAACAAATTAGTTAACGTTTTAAGCATATAAGTATGTAGTACCCCATGCTGGTTCAATGTACTCCCTTCTAACAATTTATTCAACGTAATCATTAAGAAATTTTAATCCGACCTCTAAATAAACCTTTCATTAAATTATGCAGATCATCTAAAAGAACTTGTGCATGAAATCATAAAGTAATACTAGCGTGAAAAAAATATTTGTTGTTGTTATTATTCCCGAGTTATTCTACAGGGGAGAGCTTTAATTGTATTCTAAATACAATTAATGCTAACGTAGAAAATTTGATGTCGTAATTTCATACTCTCCAGCTGTATGTAATGAAATTATCGGCGAGTCAAATGGGGAGAGGGGTGGTGGGAAAAAACCCTCCTCTTCCTTTCAGTAATTACCGATGATTCCCTTCAGACTTAAGGCCGTTGTAAATAACTTTTCGTCGCAAACAGCCTCGTCGCTCAAGGAATTCCCTTTCCCTCTCTCTCTGAGCCCGTTTCCCTCTTGTATTCACTTCCCTCTCTATCTCCCTCGTTCGAAATCTCCTCACATAAAACTCGGAGCCCCGTTTGCCATTACTCTTTGTTCAGGCTATGGGGGGAAAAGACTGATAGGCCTGTCTAAAAATAACAACGAGACCCATGCAGAGCCGACGTTCGTATAAGCTTGACTGGCGCGGGAGGAAAAACCCCACATCTGCCTCGGAGGAAATTGTGAGGCTCTTTCGGGGATACATAGCCAACGCTAACGCAAAAATAGTTTTTAGGTAAATTTAAGAAGAGTTCTTTCCCGTTGGTCCAAAGCGCTATTAAAAAAAAAAGTAATGAATGTTAATGCAATCTCCTTATTTTTTTGTATTTTATAAATTATTTTATCATAGTTGTCGCCGGGTATGATGAACATTTTGATTTAGCGATGAACTAAATTGAAAATGTTACGCATATATTTTGTTGGTATATTATTTTCATTTCATAACATTGAATTATTTTTTTGTCAGTTTTTACTATTTCCTTTCATTAAAGCTGAATTTCAGCAATTCATGCAGGTATAATTTAACTTAATTATACGATAGAAATAATTTCAAGAAATATTTTAGTATTTTTAGTAATTTTAAAGGACATTCGGCGAACCCCATTTTATGAACACACACGACAGACATTTACGTATGCATTTACATTCGTCCATCAATTAAATGAATATGTTCAGTTCGTATTCAGTCTCGTTCTGTGTGTTTAGTGGAGTAAAAAAAAAACAACTGTCAGCTAGCGATGAAGTAACATTTTAGAGGAACATTTATTTATTAAAGATAACGAAATACATAAACACATCTTTAAAAAAAATTGTCATTGGCTTGTTCATACATATAAGTAAAATAGCGCAGTTAGTCAACCGCACGGTTGTATTATTTGTCTTCAACAGTTATGAAAAACAGCCCTGTTTAACATTATATTTTTCATTTGCTTCACCCCGAAAGAACCCCAGCCTCTATAGTAAAGCTTCATTTTGTGATAAGCCTTGTGTTGGCTCTCCTCCATGCTGGCGTGTATTGATTTTCTAGCCCTCAGCTATAGATTACCCTCGGCCCACAACGAGCTAGCTTTCCTGCCCGGCCCTTACTCAGGCAGTCAGCGCAAGCTGTGCTTCTAATAAGGCGGATTCCGCTTAAGTGCAATGCGTTTATCCGGAGAAAGTGACGTATAATAGACTTGAAACTACACACCGCACACACCGCCTTTGTCTTATTTTCGGTTATTCGCAATTCTCTTTAAACTCAACGCCGGGGTTCCCAACAGGATGTTGCAAGTAGGCGTGTTTTGTATTATTCTTTTCCTCGCTCTCCATAATAACGCCAGTATTGCTAGGTGGAACGTAAACCAAGTCCAACACTTAAATTTTCGTTGCATGGCCTACCCATCCCCTTGATTCACGTGGGGGTTTTGCGCTTGCTCGATAGCTGCTGGCTGGCTTTCGTTATTTTTCTGTGCGCTGGAGCAGCACGAAGGGGAAAATAAAAAAAGGGGACTGAATAACACGCTGGGAAGGGGCGCAATCCTATGACAAATGTCTATGTCTTTATTAAGGGGGGACAACTTTAGGTACGCATGAAGAGTGAAGTATAGAATAAAAGTGATTCGGGAGGTTTAGAAATATATTTTATCTTGCACTGACAGACACTACTACTATTTTATGAAGATACCCCACCTTTCCTCCCACCATATAAATAAACCATTGTGCTAGTGGGTCCAATGGAACACAGGGCACACACAAAAAAGGCACTAGACTGAGGGGTTTAGAAATTCAATTAAAATTCGCCCTAACTCAAGAGGAGGAGAATAACTGTTAACATGTTAGGAACGAAAATAATGTTTTAAAAAAGTTTTTGATGGAAATTGTTAAAATGCTCTCATATTAAAAATAGAAGCATTTAAATTTAAAGAAAAGATTAAACAAAAAGTACGTTTAGCTCCTGCGCTGCACAAAGGAAACCGGGCGTTTGTATTGCAAAGCGTCATATATAATAGCTCCAATCAGTGAAAATATACTTTATATTATATCTGATTATTGATACACTCTATTATCACGCCCCCAATTTTCTCAACCGTATGTCACCGTCCCAGGCCCATACGGCCCGAAAACTGAATGTTTAAAATGATAAAAACCAACGCTGACTACAATACTCAACCCTGGCGCACTAATAACACGAGAGACTAGAAATTCGCCAGTTTATGCCACGTGCATCGTATTGTCCTGAGGGCGTAGAAAAAGAGTTGGGTGGGGGTGGTTAATACATTGGAAACGGGATTCCCCCGAACTAATATAAAGTTTGGCTTTCACACTAAAGTGAAAGTAGAATCCACTGAACAGCATTCATCTGTCATGCCATGCCATTGGATTTTTTTTTAAAGCAAAGGGAAGAAAACTCTGCCCTGATAATTGATCCAAGTTTGAAGGCACCGTTGTGAGAATATTTGGTAAAAAAATATGAGAATCTTGAACAATATAATGATAACGACAAAGGCGTACTGCATCACTGATAGCACTGGTGGACTATTTAAAATATTTCTTTTAAAATATTTGACTTAAAATGGTTATGTACATTTTTTTTATCATGTCAATACTACACTCTTTAATAATTTTTTTTTTTTTGAATCAGCTGAATGTTTAAATAATGTAGGACATTCGAGTTGGTCATTGATAAGATTAGTAATTACTAATGAATGTTTTAAAACGGAGTTTGGTAAAACTTACACCAACAAAGTTTTGGCTTTCTCAGTCCATATTGATACTTATGAAATGTGTTTGTTTGTTTCTAGGTGGCATACCCGTGCTCATCATACTAAAATCATCAAACTCTTAAACTTATACTAAAAATTCAAGAAAAGCTTCCATTATAATTATACCCTAGCTGTGCTGACTGGCTTGTAGAGCGGGCATAGCATTAAGAGCATATATTACTATTATTCGGATTCTGTTTATCACTGGTTCGTTAAATTTGGGATTATTTATTGAGATGGTGTGCATTAAATATTACATTACAACTCTTTGAAGTGAGTATTGGAAGTTTGTTCTTTATAAATATTCGTTTAGTTCACTTTATTAAGGAATCGCCTTGAGCGATTTCAAATTATAGTTTGCGATACTCTATTCAACGTTTCAGTATCGCGTCAGTTTGAAAGGATCGATCCCGAATCCGTGTGGTTAGCCTAGCTGGTGTGTATAGAGAAGAGTGTCTGCCTGGCTGGCCTGCCTGCCTGCGCATACAACAACATAGTGGCTCGACCCAGGTGATAATAGAGCTTGGTTTCAGTCCAATACTTTTCCAATGTTGGGGCTTGGGCTTGAGACTTGAACGACCGCCTTTGCTAGGCTTCCGTACTGTGTCTAGTGAATAATATGTACCGTAGTGTAGAGTTTTATGGTACGCCTTGTATAAGAGGACTTGGATCGTGCTTTTACTGCAGGAAATATTCACGAGCTTGATAATTCATAGGCTTATATATAGAAGTTGGACAATTACTTTGGTAAGTCAGATAACTTGTGTTTACTTAATTGTTTGATTATGAAAGTAGATTGTTTATATTCCTACAGCGATTGACTGAAACTGACAACACATTAATTTGATGACGTTATTGTTATTATTTTTTTCGATAATAAAAAAAAAAAATCGATACAAACTGATGGATTTGTTGAACGTAGTTCAGTGATGATCAGGTGTGAAATCTATATTGACTTGTTTATATGTACACGTATTCTTATCTATTTTATTCCCCGGTGTTGTTGTCCTGTGAGTGATTGAGCGAGTGCTGCAGCAGCAGCAGCAGCAAAAACGAATAAGATGAGAGGAGGAAATGGGCCAAGTGAAGGGATGAATAATACAAGCCGGGGGAGTAACCCTGTCTAAAGTTTTAAGCAGGGGAAGGGGAGACCTAGTCACGTTTATTTCCTGTATATCAGTGGATGTGTTGCGCATGACTCGCTAAATAATGGGAATAGTGAAGCCGTTTTTATGCGGCTGAGGCTCAGCGAAGGAAGCTCATGAAATGAATTGTTCTAGTTATAGACCGAATAATTGATGGTGGGGAAAATACAGGAATTACATCTAAATTGACTTGAGTAAGCCTAAAGAAATGGGAAAGGTTAATTTAAATTAGGCTTTATTACACTCCATCATTTAATTTCAGAGAATAATAAAAAAAAAATATATTTTATTTAACAATGTGCTGTTAAGTGTCATAGTCATACAGTTTTCACATTAATAATAATTATTTTATATAACTGACCAATCATAATCATGAGACTATGGATTATTGTTTAAATTTGTTATAGCCTGTTTGATTTTAGGCACGTAAAGACAGATATAAGGCTACTCCTTCTTTAGATGTGTTAAACTTTATTTTTATTGGTATTGGAGCAGCAAAAGTTGGGAAAATATAGCCCTGTATGCCACATAAAAATTAGTATATTTTATGGCTTATGCTTTGTTTTCTTTCAATATACATATACAGCTATGCAGAATTTAGTTCTTTCAAAGATGGTTTAGGAAAGGGGAGGTGTGTGTGTCCCACAAAACAACCCCACTTAAAATGCTTTAAACCAATTAGTCTATTGTATTGATTAACATCTTATATTTAAGTTGGCCTGTACAAAAATATACTATCTATATCTGATATTAAAAAAACTTCAAATCTTATGCTTATAAAAAAACTTACCCAATGAAACTGTTTATATTGTGCATGTCCATATTTACATATTTTTCAGATTTGTAGAAATGAAATTATTTTGGAAATTATTATTTTCTTTTATATCTTAATTCTTTAGGAACTCGGCAATCCTGAAGATATAAGTGGAGAAAACTCTAGAGGCTCAACTGGTGTTCCCCGACCAGTGCCCTCTCCAGTTGGCTCCTCTGGATCTAGATCAAACACCCCTGCTTCCATTCCAGGTCAGATTTTAAGCATTTTATGAACGTTTGTCTACTTAATTTTTGAAAACTGCATTTTATCACATACATTTGAGTCTTTTTTATTTTCTAGTCAAATTTGAAAGTAAAAAAGAAATTCTGAATCTTTTTTTTAATATATAAATATATATAAATATAAAATAAACTTTTGTAATGTGTAAATGCTTTGTAAATAATGCTTTTACTACCTGGTAAAATGTATGCAAGAGATGAACGGTTTTTAAATATATTTGAAAAATTGTAACTAGGTCTATTTCTGTTTTAAGTAACCTATTTTGGACTAAGTAAAAATGTAATTAGAAAGGTTGAAGGTGATAAAAGTTGCATTGGCTGTCTGTGTATAAAATGTAAACTTTTTTATGTTTAGAAATTTATGAGCATTACATGCATACCCCTGTAATACAGCTAGTTTAGTGGTGAGAATTATTCACTGAAGAGTTCTGTAACAGGTGTCATATATGTATGTGTACTTTCATATAAATTCTATAAGTTAAAGTGTAAACTTCTATTTATTATTATTATAACTAAGAACTACGTTTGTTGTTGATTTTTAGCTGGAATAATTCTCCTCATTATCATTAATTATTTTGTGATTGTATCTACATCCATATTATCGATGGCAAACAGTAAGCCACAAGAAAATCTACATGTTGTCTGTTTAAATTTGTTGCTAACAATTAATCATGAAATAAGACAGGATACATTCACTAGAGTGATTATATTCTTTGGCAGCCCATTAAGTTGTGTGATCGTTTTCGTTGAGAAATAGTAGTGCAAGGGCGGAGCACGTGACAGTTATAGGGTCGGTGGAACTGGAAGTGCTCTACTCTAGCTACAACACTGTCCGGCACTTGATGTCTCGCCTACAGCTGATCTCGTGAAAACCTTTTGTTATTGTTACAACTATCAATAAACCCATTCAGTCCTTGCACATGGTAGATTCCGAGGGCCGGGAATTAATGCGCTGCTTTTGACAGGAGAATGGAGAGGGAAGGGGGGAAAAAGTGCTCGTGGTGATTTGAGAGGGGGGGGGGTAAGGGGTGGTGGCTCAAGGTGATAAAGTCGACTCGCGCACTCTATAGATTGGACTTGAAAGTTAGGGGATTTCCCTAGTGGATAGGGGAGGTGAGTGAGACAGGGAGGAGGGAGGGAAGAAAAAAACAGCAGGAACGCACACCACCTTCACAAACGATGACAAACAGTCTTGTTAAAAACTGTTTAGTGTCGAGGGGGTTGGGGGGGGGGGGAGCACCGCTCTTGTTGGCACATCAAGTTTCCCATTACTTGAACGCGGCCTAATCACCTAAGAATGCGTCGGCGGATGACCTCGTCAGTTGAACTTTGTTGATATTGTTGTCACTAGACGTAAACAAAGATGGCGTGTCAATTGTGGTGCTTGCCGTGGATTGATCATTTAACGCAATGTGCACCGAATGGCTGTGATAAAGTGGGTAGAGTTTTCATCAAAGCCCAGCACTTGACTGTCATTTAGTCTTACATCCGACCATTCTGCCATAATGAAAATGAGTGGTCTTACTATGAGAACAATATGTTTGCTTTATCTACTCCGCATATGTAAGAAATATTTGTGTTCTTGCTGTTTTAGCTTGAATAATATATATATATATATTTACAAGAGTGTTGTTATAAAACTATTTGAAAACTAGTAAATGAGTTCAAGCACATTTTGGATTTTTAACGATTGCAGTAAAGTAAATGAATGTAAAGTCAGAAACGCGTTTCTTTTTTCGGCCAATCTGTATGTATTTTTTTTCTTTGAAGTTTTAATGTTTTTTTTCAAAAGGATCAAAGTTAAAGTAGTTGTGCAAACACACAGATTTTATGATTGCTGGGTTATCCTCACCTGTTGAGGCGACACCCTGTTCTTTAATAGTTTATGCAAACCAAATCCTATTGTCACCTACAATGTTGCAAAATATCGGTTTGCACATCAGCACTCACCAAATAGAGCGACCAATAACATTGAAAGAGCAGTTTTACGTGATTTCATTCCCCTTCTCAGACCTGTTTACCCTCAAACTCTAAAAATCGTACAATATCATCTCAAAAGCGTTCAATACATTATCTTAATAGTAAAAAAATAAACATACAGTACATAAAATGTATACATCTCAAAATCGTACACTGTACGCCAAAATCGTAAGGGTAAACAGGTCTGGAACAAGAAATAGACGCTGGAGTCTCTGCGAGACGAAAACAGTTGGGAGATGCTGTAGTGCGGGGGCTGCACAACTCAAAATGTCATTCTTCATGAAAACTTCGTATCCGGAAATTTGTTTGAAATAAATTTCGTAGACGGGAAATTGATCGACGGAAATTTGATCAAATAGAAATTTGGTCGAATCTTTTTCTGGAGGTTGTCATAGTTAGGAAGTTTCACACTTTTTTTATTTTTCCAGTTGGCTCAAAAATAAACATGCGAGATGAACTACAATCATATATAAAGATAAATAGCCAGTGTCCGAGGCCTCAAAGCTGTAGAATCTTGAGAAAAAAAGTGCCAAAGTGAATGACGAAGTTTGAGTAAACATCAATGAATTTAATGCATTGGCAGAGATTGAGTAAGATGTAGGCCTACTCATTTTGGGAGTGGGTGGGGAAGCGCTCAATTCAAGTAGCTACCAAAAGACAGATCCATGTAATGGCAATTATTTAGTCTATTCCATAATGATATTAATATGGCAATTATTATAAATAAATCAGTTACTATGCCACTGTACTATCTATACGCTGTTGCAATAGAGAAACATGTGGCTTATCAAATGGTGTAGATGAACATAAGCTAATAATAAATTTACCAACAATAATAATTTGACCGAATCAATTCTTTAACAAATTCTGGAATATGAAATTGAATAAAATAATAAATTCTAATTGTTACATTTTTTTAAAACAACTTAAAAAAACTAGTAAAAATAAATTGTTGAACGGATATCTCAACTTCTTAAATGTTATGAGTTGTTAGCACTGATTATATAATCTTTACTTTAAGACGCTAAATTACGAGATTACATTAATTTACATTCCACTGATCTAAGAATAAATGTATATAGTCTCAATTTATACGTATGGGGTTGGGAAAAAAAAAGGGGGGGGGGATAATTAACTAAAACTGATTTGGGTGTGGTTTAGATTTTTTTGGTGCAAACACTGTTGTGTTTTAAATTTTCTAAGGATTGTGATAGGAATGTATCGATACATTATTTTGTAACTGTAACTGCAGTATTGAAGCAAGTAGGAAAAAACAACAACATTAGATTCGTGTCAACAGAATATCATACTTCTACTTAAAGTATTTAATTATTTGCAAAATTAAAGAAGCGAATTCGGCGATCCTGTTATTCTCTCATATTTCATGTGGTCTCAAGTCTCCAAGAAATAGGAATCGAAGATTAAAAGAAATTCATAATACGATACATAGATAGGCGATGCGGAAATGAAGAATGTAAACTTATAATAATATTTATGGGATTCTGAAAATATGTCCAAGTAATAGTCATTTAACATTACTTTATGGCACCTGAGAGCTAATAATGCTAGTTTAGCATAAGGTATTAAAAAATGTATTCTAAAATATTCTATATAAATAAAACATTGCAAATCAAGTACTGCATTAAGGATTTAAAGTTTATATAAATTGGCACCTATTATCGATCATACTCAAATTTTCTTCAGGAACATTTTAGACTTTAGTTTAGTCTTAAAAAGAAACTAAAAACAGTGACAGTTAAGTATATGTAATATAACATGGCAGCAATTATCATCATTATTAGAAATAAAGGTTATGGCTATTGTAGGTACTTTGGCATAAAAAAATTATCGGAGTAGAATAGTAGTAGTTAAATATTAAATATTAATAAATAAATAGAGCAAACTTTAAATTAAAAAAATGAAAACTGAGCTTATCATCACTACTAGGGTGCTCGGCCTTACTTCTGTAGATGCAACCTCCGCCTCCACCCCTTTCTCATTATAGAAAAAGTAAATAAACAGTTCCAGTTCACTTATTCTATTTCTTTAATTTGAGTAGGGCATTGCAATTAAAATATTTGGATATTACATCATATGTGGCAGACAAAATTTTAATTATGAACGGCAAATATGGTCATGAACACAACTTTTTATTTGGAATTTGTAACAACTTTTCATTTCCAGGATTAAAATTTTTTCGAAGTGGATGCATACACCGCGGCGGTGTACCTAGCGAAACCATCGGCTTTGGCCTGCGTAAACCGCGGCGGTGTACCTAGTGAAATCGTGGGCTTTGGCCTGGGTACACCGCGGCAAAAATTTACCATTGGCCTGGTTTTAAGTTATACTTTTAGAGAAGGTCTTGTGTGGTCAAGTGGTAGAGTGGACGCTTGACGATAATATAGTTTGAGATCAATTCTCAGTAGGGGATCGAGTTTTTTTCCTCCCATTTTAGTTTTAAAATATTTGTAGCAATTTAAACAATTTAAATATATGTTTAAATATTATATTAAATACACTTTATATATTTATTTATATATATAAGTGTTTCAACAAGTTGTGCCGGCCTTTGACTTTGAAAATACCGGTAACTTTAGTAATAAGACTTTAGACATTTGAAAACAAACTTAAAGTTTCTGAAAGCACATGTAATACATGATGATCAAGTATAGTTAGTGTATGTCAATGTAACATGTATAACAGAAACATTATGAATACTAAGTGACTGATATTCTATTGTATTTCAACATTCTTCGTGTAGTTGAATATTTACATTTTACTTTTACGAACACCCAAAGAAAAACCAGTATGAATTATATTCATACCATATGAATATTAATGTGCATGGTCGTATTTCAACCTTGAACCATCTTGCTTTCACTATGCCTTATGCATTGGCAAAATGTACATACGATATCAAAGGTTCATTCACAACACTCAGTCTGACAGCAAATCTTTTGAAAACACCTCGATTTCTGAAACTTGCGGAGCGCTAGCAAACTGTATAGCAAAGCCATAGGTCTGCGTTTACCCTTTACATGACGGAATTTGTTTCCAGAATGGCATGGCATGTGCTATTTTCAGGGTAAAACACGACGTTTTCTCACAGAAACCATTGCACAATGGGCTTGGGACAGGATTTGCACTATGTCAAAGTTTTTGTATTTGTTGTTGTTGTTTTTTTTTGTTAAGAAATCGATCCTTGCCGGGGAGTGGGGGGTGGTGGTGAGTTATGGGCAGAGGCTTAACCAAAAAGGGGGCATTCACAAATCATGGCTCAGGATAGGGGTTGTCGACAAAGGACGTCCGCACAACAAACTTACCTTTTGCATCCCCCCTCCACCAGCATTTTTTACTAATGTGTAATGCCAATGTAAAACTAAATCAATGATATTTAATTATTGTTAAAAGACTTTCAAAAATCACTGCAGTGTTTCGTATTTATCATCATATTGTTGTTTTGTGTTGACACATGCTTGGTATCACAATGCCTCTGACTACTTTAACTTCACGACTTCATGATCAATGTATGAGTAAGTGATTCTCTTCCCGTAGTGTATTTGTGGCGTAGCCTAATTATATCTTGGTGCTAACAAAATAGATTCACTGTCTTCCCATTCATTTTTACACCATGCCCCGAGGGATCACATACAATGTTATATTTATAATGCCCCCCCCCCACCAAAAAAAAAAAAAAAAAAAAAAAAAAAAAAAAAAAAAAAAAAAAAAAAAAAAAAAAAAAAACAACAAAAAAAACAACAAACTAACAAACAAAAAAAAACAACAAACAACTGGGTGGGGGTGGGCATGAGAGAATAATTTCAAATTAAGATTCACAATCATATGATAAAACTTACAATTAATAAATATATTTGTATTTCAATATATTGGGGGAGGTAGGAATAAAGTGGTTAACTTTAAAAATAAATCATGGTTTAACATTACACCCCAGCCCCCTCCCTTCCAAAAATAATAAGAAATGCTTTACATGCACTTTGCTACATAAGCGTGGAACTTACTCAATATCTTCCCAATGTAATAAACGAATTTTAAATAAATAGTTTTCAGTTTCAACACGAGTATAACATTAAATCTACAAGTACCGGTTAGGCCAAAAAGTTAAAGACTCGCAAAGACCATAGTTTTGCTACTTTAAATTTAAATCGCTGCGGTGTACGCAGGCCACAGACGATGATTTAGCTAGGTACACCGCCGCGGTGTACGCAGGCCAAAGTCAATAGTTTCGCTAGGTACACCGCCGCGGTGTACGTAGTGCCGGCCAAATTTTTTAGCATTTCTCTCTATGGTTATCGATAAGATGTCATCTGAAGAAATTTAAGATAAAATTATCACTATCCCTCAAAAATTAAATTAAAAACTCATATTTTCTGCGCTAACTCCCATTTCCCATACAAATTAAAAAGTAGTCTCCATTGCTTTACTGAAATTCCAAATAGTATTGTAGTCCATGATAGTCAAAGTGTTTAAATTTAAAGATATTATTTCTTTTATTTTTCTTTAGCGATTTTATCTGAGGTACCAGCCATAAACCCTCTATAACAATGTCTGGGGAAAGTAAAGTCACACTGACAAATGCCCTAGAAAATGTCGACTTGCTTGATGACCTTCCTCTTCCTGACCAGCAGCCATGTATTGAGGCTCTCTCTCTGTCAGTTCACTATCGGGCAAACTTTGATACCAATTTTGAAGACAAGAATGCTTTTGTCAAAAGTGTTGCTAAATATAAAGAGCAAGCTACAGTTCAAGCAGATTTGGTAATAAAATATTTTTATTTTGTAAAAAAGCAAAGCATAAACTAAAATGTATATACTGTATACAATTCATGTTTCTGATAGTTGTAAAGCACATTTTATTTTCGAATGCCAGAAATCTTAATGTAAATAAATTTAAAAATTTCAAGTTTGCGTACCATTAATCATGTAGGTCACATACTATTAGTAAATTACATACACAATGAACATTAATTACATTTACTGAAGTGGTGGTTAATTAAGATTATTATTATTTTTTGAAAAGATGCTTGTTGACATATTAAAGTTATTAAAAGCAAAGGAAGCAATTTATCATCTTTAGGAAGGGGTTCAATTGTAAATGGTGCTATGAAATGATTGAGTCTCTTTGCTCACCAGAATCTGTTATTGGAGGAAGGTGAAGAATATGCAGTTATGTTGTACACATGGAGATGCTGCTCAAGAGCTATTCCACAAGTAGGTCTTTGGTTCATTTATTTCTTGGCTGATAAGTGCTGTTTTTTTTAATAGTGCTCAGCTGCTCACAGAGATGTAGTGCATAAAAATATGCTATTCGAGCAGATACTTTTTCTTTGCAGAATCGACAAAACATTTATAAACGGCAGTGACTCATTGTCATTTCTGTTCTTTTTAGGTGAAGAGTAATGAACAAGAAAACAGAACAGAAATCTATCAGAAGACGGTTGAAGTGCTTGAGCCTCATGTCAACAAGCTGATGCAGTTTATGTTTTTTCAGGTTGGAAATTTAAAAAAATATTGTACAAAATTTTAACAATACCTTAGATAGGAAAGTCATTTATTTTATCGTTAAAGTTAGATATTTTTATTTTAACCAAAAGGTTTATACATTTCCTAGACTCATAATTAGTTTAACAATACGTTAGATAGGAAAGTTGTTTATTTTCTCTTTAAATCTAGATAAATTTATTTTAACCAAAAGGTTTATAAATTACCTAGGCCTAGGCTCATATTTAGTTTTAAACTGATTTGACCCACTGCCTGCTATTAGATATTAAATTTGTATTGTTAAAGAAATAGTTTTTGAACTACAATTTTTAAGTTATTTTTAACTAAAACCAAATCTTAAAAACCTTATTGTTTACAAAATTAGATTTGTTAAGGAAAAATATATGATGCAGTCCCTTAGAGGCATGTACCAAAATGTGGTTCAGCACATCTGACTTCTGAGTGCATCTTATAATTGGTTTGCCTCACTGGATCTTGATGGGCTTATTCATTTAGTCTTTGACTGTTTTCAACCACCCACTAACCCTTTAAAATGAGATTTTCTGTTGAAGAAACAGGCCGACATTTGAACAGTACACACCCTCGAACATTTGCATTGACAAAATAACTTATCTGCGAGTTGCTAGCATATTTTTGTTTCTGATGAAATGTAATGAGGGGCAAGTTGCTTGAAATGAAATAGCAACATAGCTGCAGTTTCTGAATGAGATTTCATATTTTCATGATTTTCTTTGGTCTCATTGTGGACAGAAATTTAATTCTTTTAAGGCATACATTTCACACTAGGTTCTTAATGTTAGCTATGCTTATCTATAATATGATTTGTAGATAGTCTAAAATTGGTACCGGAGTAAAGAAATACCAATTTGGCCAGAAATTAAAATATTCTTATTTATTGTAATGATTTTTCAGCTTATTGTTCCTTCATTGTTTCCCTATTCTATCTCAGTAAACTCCCATCTGAAAGCAAATGAGGATCTCCTTTAATTGAGGATCTTCTAAGATGAGAATCTCATAAAATGAGGATCTCCTTTAATTGAGGATCTTCTAAGATGAGAATCTCATAAAATGAGGATCTCATTAACTCCTTTAATAATTTTCTGCAGAGTTTATGAATTTCTAAGCAATGTAAATCTTAGGTTGCGCTTAAAATGTGTCAACAAATTTATTCAAAGAATTTCTCTATTCACATTTAAAAAAAAGATAAGTTATCCTACTTAAAAACAAAAGTTCTTCCCCTTTAAAAAGATTTTAAGTATTCTTTGAAATCTGTTTATCTCTGATAACTTCTTTTGGCAGATGTGGTAGCAAGTATCATTACTTGAAATATGTTACGCCTTCCTTTTTAAATGGTAGTTTGTGTTAAATTTTTTCCTTCTTTTTCTGGTAACAAAATAACTTTTACCAGACAAATGCTTTCTGTCACAAACTGTATTCAGAAAAGAGCCATAGATCTCTTTTGTGATGAAGTCAAGAGGCTGTGCCACAAAGAGAAGCGACAGGACTTTGTGTCCGAAGCGTACTTATTGACACTCGGGAAATTAATCAACATGTTTGCAGAGCTCGATGAACTGAAGAACATGAAGGCCAGCGTTCGCAACGACTATTCAGCCTATCGGCGGTAAAATGGATTTTCGTTAAGCTTCTGTGATTTGTTACGTGACATTATAAAAGCACAGGTTGGCCATAGGTAATGAAATGGATGTAACAGTACAGTGGCCTCTTCTTTCCAGGAGGCGGTCATTGTAATTTTTTTATAAGAAATATTTATTTTATTATAAATATTCTGACCAAACCAATCATCCGACAGAACAAAAAATGTTTTTTCACTCATTTGGATTCATAAAATCTGAAACACCTAAAAGATAAAGTTGTTATGACTTGTTCAGAAAATACCCGTTGCTACTGTCCAACAATTTTCTTTACCTAATGCCAATTTTTGCTAATGTTTTGTGTAAAATCCATGGTAATATCTTTGTTTCAGGCTCAAATGTGTCAACGATGAAAAGTGTTTGCTAATACTGTTTGGTCTTAACCTGATTCTCTTGCAGGCTAGGTCTATAGAACGGTTCTGCATGGAAATCAGGCGTCTATGCCACAAAGGGGCCAAAAATGACTTTGTGTCTGAGGCCTATCTTCTGACCCTAGGCAAATTACTCAACATGTTTGCCGTGTTAAATGAATTAGCCAACATGAAAGCCAGTGTGAACAATGATTATTCAGTGTACAAACGGTAACCCCTAAATTTCTCCAGGGAGACATGAGGCGCTTAGTTTTTCTTATCTTCCCATTCACATACATGCTTTCTCGCTAGCCAGATCTGCCAATGTGATGTTGTAAACTTCTTAATTATTTTTTATTGACAAGTGTACAGCACTGATGACACCTTCTTTAGAAGGGAATACAAATTGGCCTATTACAAAACAAACAAAAGAAAGTTGGTTTTCATAAAGTTAAGGGAAATATTTGTAAAAACAAAATTGGAATCACAATTTTCATGAAACAAACTTATAAAAATATCTCAATTTCTTAGTAAATGTAGGCATTTACAGTACAGCTGTTGTAAAGCTTTAGAACGATAAAAAATAGGAATAGCCAGAAGTCATTTAAGCCACTTGAAAGTGTCAGATTAATTGATTGCTTAACACTTTGGCCTAAATAATCATTTTTACATAACGCTGGAGCAAACTAACTTTCCATATTACTAATTCATGGTTTTCCTTAAAAGCAATCCTTCAGGGACAACTAAAAATAGATCCATGTGTTTACACGGTGCATCAACTACCCCTGTGGTACTACATCATACACACTGTAGACTTGCTCAGTTGCTAATCTGCATGGGGAAAGTTGCACATTTGTACAACTACTATCATATCTTGGGCAGTCATTAGTTGACAGTTATAGTCCTTGATCTTTCTGTCCATAATCCACTCATACATTTCTACATAATTATGATAATCTTGGTGTCAGAGTATTAGCGCCATCATCTCTTATTATATATTCTTTATGGTCTTTATAAATGTTTATGTTAGGATTTACCATAATTTATTATTACAATTTAAAATTATGCTGAGGGAGAATAATAACTTGAGCCACCGATAACAGATTTCGGCCAGTGTAAAAGAAAAATTAACTATGCATAATGTATGTCATAATAGAAAATGAACTCTACGTAATGTATGTCATAATAGAAACATTTCTGAGAATGCAAGATCTGATGAATTCTTCAGCCTCTAGCCACTTATCACAACAGAGCACTAACCTGTTTTCCTAGAACTCAATGCTATTAAGATAATTCTGTTGTTTGTCAGAAAAGATATGTTGCACCGATACATTTTGAAGATGTTATTAACCATGTCAAGCCAAGCACTGTCAGCTTGTAAATGTTCTCTACGGCTTCATCTGTTTCAGAACATTCTGCTCGTCATCTGGCTTTAAATGTTCTTCACACGTTAATATACACATCACCCCACTTTTTTTTCTTTCTTTCGTTCACATCACATTCAAGAGACTGGTGTTAATGTCTGAAGAAAAAACAAAACAAAATGAGACTGACTTTTCCTTTGTCAATAAATGTGCTACTTACTTTATACATATTTATATCATTAGTATTCAGTGGCAAATAGAAAAAAATGATGGAGGCCCAATGGTATAAACGATAGTACGGTACAATAGACCCACATCTATCGTGGACGCACAATGTTATAAATGATAGTACAGTCGTCCCTCATCTGTCATGGAGGTGGTGAAAGGCTTTTCCTATCTCGGCAGCACACTGTCCCAAAGCACAACCATCAATGATGAGGTTTACCTCCGTATTACGAGAGCCAGTGTAACCTATTGAAGATTGACTAAGAATGTATGGACCAGGAGAGGTATTAACACTCAAACTAAACTGAAGGTATATCAGGCGGCTGTTCTCCCTGTGCTTCTCTATGCCTGTGAAATGTGGACAGTCTACCAACGCCATCCAAGAATGCTGAACCACTTTCATACAACAAGACTCAGAAAAATCCTCAACATTAAATGGCAGGACAGGGTCCCAGACACTGAGGTGCTCACACGGGCAGGTCTCCCCAGCATCCTCACAATCGCTGGGCGGGAGATGTTGTGAGAATCTCAGATGACCGTCTTCCCAAAAGAATTTTCTATGGTGAGCTTGAACAAGGAAAGCGGTCTGCTGGCGGACAGAAAAAACGCTTTAAAGACAACATAAAAGCCTCACTGAAAGCGTTCAACATAAACCCAGACACGTGGGAGGAACAAGCAAAGGATCGAACTTCGTGGCGTTCCCCTTTGCACAGGAGCACCATACAACATGAAGTTGGCAGAATAGCGGCTGCAGAGCGCAAGAGATATGCCAGGAAGGCCTGGTCTGACTCTGCTCCTGGAGATGCGCCATCATTCCCCAGCACCTACTGTACAAGAGAATTTCGTGCCAGAATCGGCCTCATTAGCCATCTGCGCACCCACAGACAGAACTAGCACAAACTATGATGATTAAAGTGGTCATGGTTGACCCCCGACTGATGAACAACAACAAAAATCATGGAGGCACAATGTTATAATGATAGTACAGTGGTCCCTCATTTATCATGGAGCCACAATGTTATAAATGATAGTACAGTGGTCCCTCATCTATCATGGAGGCACAATTTTATAAATGATAGTACAGTGGTCCCTCATCTATCATGGAGGCACATTGTTATAAATGATTGTACCGTGGTCCCTCATCTATCATGGAGGCATAATGTTATAAATGATAGTACAGTGGTCCCTCATCTATCATGGAGGCACAATGTTATAAATGATAGTACAGTTGTCCCTCATCTATTGTGGAGACACAATGTTATAAATGATAGTCCAGTGGTCCCTCATCTATCATGGAGGCACATTGTTATAAATGATAGTACAGTATTTCATTTGGTATCCGTATGTTACTTGTCCAGTAAATTTTGTACTATCTGTTGGATTTCATTTGGTATCGATTTGTTTCTTGTCCAGTATATCTTAAAACATTTGTAAACAAATATTCCTCTTAGATCCCTGCTAAAAATAACATGTTAGACCCTTATGAGTTATTAAACAGGTTTAAAACACTAAAATTACCCTGTTTGTCAGACCAGACAGTCTGTCTATACTCTCATTGATGCATTCACTCTGTACTTATTTGGTCTGGTCCACTTGCACAGCAATGTTCTTTTGATACTCTTAAATGAGATCTTCAAGTATGGTGAACGTATCACTACTATACTATATGATATATTTTCCTTGACAGTAAAGAAACCCAGATGGATTAAGTTTTGTTTAATTTATTAGATGACAAAATTTTCAGCGCTTTCTCAAGTGGAGTATTAAAATCTGCATTACTTTTCAACATGTTCCTTAACTTAAGTGTTTATGGATTAGTCCAGTGGTCGTCGAATTGCGGCTCGAGCCGCATGTGGCTCTTTAACACCTGAATGTGGCTCGGCCACAAAAACGGTTTATGACTCCGAAAAACATGGTCTTGACAGGTTCTTGAAAAGAAATTTGGCTCTCAAAAATATTTTAATCGTCCTGCTGCTGATTTTTGGCTCTTTTGACTATTGAGTTTGCCGACCACTGGACTAGTCAATGTTCACATGGATTATTGAAGCCTACATTTCGTGTCAACACATTCCTTAACTTAAGTGTCATTTAACTTAGAATTAAATCAAAACCACCAATCTCTAGAATAGAAATAAATAAATGCCTCATAAATGCCATTAGGCTTACTGTCCAGAAAATAATTCATTACATAAATGTTAAGAACATGACATAATTTCTGAAAAACATTAAAAATGTAATAATTCAATTTTCTAAATGATTTAATTCACTGGTAAAACACAGTTAATTAATTTCTCATCATTTGAAAATGAAGAATCTAAGAATGATTGTTGATTTAAAGTTTGAGTTTACTTTCATATGTTGAATGAATTATTTTCTAATGAACATTCCATCTCATCAATATTTATCTTAATGATATCAATCTATATATTTTATGTGATACGGTGAAGCATATCTTGTATTTATGTATGGTCATACCCTGTGGAATGTCAGCTTGACTTCTAGTTCTTTGATTTGAAATTTAGCTGTAAAACACCTCCTTAACTGCCAAATACTAAGTAGTCTGTTATTGTGGGCAGACATTATGGAGCTTGTATAATTCGAGTATCATAAATGATTATCAACTTAAATGACTAGTGCTTGCTTATTGGGTGCACAGCACATGATGGCTTAAAAAGGAGTTGTTAGGTATTTATTGACCTACTTAAGAAATATGACCTATCTTATTTTAAATTGCTCTAAAATCCCTTGAAGCTGATGCAACTTCTGGGTATGACTTTACATCTTCCATTATTCTATTTATTGTACAATCATACAAATAGTTTTAGTTCATTAGTTGCTTATTTATTGATTAATATTTTATTGCTTAAATTCATGATGCTCTTTTATATTTATCCTATATAGTTAACTTGTATACTTTAAAAAAAAAATAGTGACATGCAATTAAATGTTACACCAGAGCTTTTAAATGTATAACGAAAAGTATTAAAAACGAAATAAAATGATTTAAATTATTAACTTTGAACTGATGGCTAATCCATGTTTCCCCCCTCATTTTTAGTGCTGCACAGTTCTTGAAAGTCATGGCAGACCAACAGGCAATGCAAGATTCTCAGAATTTATCCATGAACCTGGCGACACAAAACAAGATTAGGGATACATTAAAATCTCGTCTGGCTGAAATTCAAGTAAGAAAACTGAACCATTTTAAAAAACACAACATTCAGTATTTTTCCAATGTTAAAAAAACTTACTAGTTATTTGTCACAAAACTATTTTTATGAGTCAGTGGAACAACCTAATTCTTTTGTGATCAGATAAGTGCTCAAAAATGTTTAAATTATAAATCTGAATAAGAAATTTTTTCAAATTAGAAGAAAGTTTTTGCACCTTTTATTGCCACCATTTTAAAATTTAAAACCTTTTGTTATTGTAATGGTACTAGTACATAGAGTAAGAAGGACAAATATGTTTGCCTTGAAAAGAAAAGACAGGACCATTAGTAAGAAGGGCTCTATTATTAATAAAAGAAGAAAACTGTTATTTTTTTCCTCCCTTATCCAAAGGGTTACGATGAGCTGTTGGCAGATATTGTAAACATTTGTCTGGTGATGTATGAGAAAGACATGTACCTGGAACCAACAGAGAAACACATGTTAGTTAAGGTCAGTCTTCAAACAGGATTTGGCAATAAAAAGATTGTGTTCAATAACTATGATTAAGACATTATTGAAAACTAATTTTTATAAACTAAGTAGCAAGCTTTACTCTCTTCAACACCATGTAGGTACTTTGATAAGTCAATCATACATCTAATCAGCGCATGTTGAAAAATGGCGTAATTTGTTGTGGCGCACTTTTGAAAGGGATTTTTGGTGGCCTCCATTAATTTCTCTTTTTGTCTCTACGGTTTGTAATGGATTTCGTCATCATTGACTTAAAGTAGATTCTCTTCTGAACATGCCAATGTAAATACAGAAATGAGGCGGTTAGTTTTACGCTACGGTGACAAAGGGAACATGATTTTAAGCTTTAATTTTTCAAATACTATTTTATAAGAAATGTGCATGGTTACGGATCCACGACCCATATGCATTATATTTTATCCATTTTAAAAACTATCTAGTTGTACTAAAGTTTATAATTCTTCCCCAAGAATCAATCTTAAAGCCGAAAATGGTTCACTGGAAATTGATAATAGAAAGTCTGCCATTTTTTTAATAGGCATGCCAGAAATGGCTCTTGCACATTTTCAATATCAATTATATTATTTAAAAGATACTTTTAATAGCTTCACCATCTTTACAAATCTTAATAAAAAGTTGTCATTTTTATCATTACCATATGAATGAATAAGCTTAAAATTGTGTACAGGTAGAAAATATTATTTAAATATGACAGTTAAAAATATTTCCATTAAAATTGCTTCCACAATAGAAAAAGATTATTGAATATTTTTGGTTTGGACATCTTTGTTTTACAAACAGATTTAACTAGTAATTATGAAAAAAAAAAAAAAGGAAATAAATACCGAGTTTTAGGTTATAGGTTTATAAAACTAATTATAGCTAATTATAGCAATATAAGACTCTTGTTACCTCACTGGGGTCATAGGCCTACTATTTAAAAAATAGTTCTTATATTCCTTCCTATATTTTATATATAATTTAGGCCTAATACTTTTAGTAATAATAATAATAATAAAAAGAGGTCTTATATAGCGCGGTACCCCAGCCTAGGGCTGGGCTCACCGCGCTGTACATAAAATTTTTTATCAAATATCAGGCCTAATTTATGTTAGTACCGTATTTTTAATTTTAATAATGTATTTAATTATAACATTCAATTAATTGTCTAAGTTAATGTAATTTTTATAATACTTACTGCATGTTTTACTTTCAGACTTATATTAATTACAATGTAAATTTTTGAAAATATTCAATTTTATTTTTTATTTACCTTCCACACGTGTCCTCAAAGAATAGTTACAAGCACAATAATCCATTTAATTACACAAAATATTATGCTATTTTACTCAAGCATCCTAAAAAGAATCATTCCAATCATTGGCATAGGCAGGGGGAGGGAGGTGTCCACAACCAACCCCACTAGCCATATGATCACACACACACACTCTTATTGTGAATTTTGGTTTAATTTTTTGAGGTAGATTTTTCACATTTTGAAATAATAATTTCATACATTCAATCTTAAAAAGAATATACATCGACTACGGTAACCAATATTAGCATTCGTTTTAAAAAAAAAAATGTTATTACAGTGAAGCCATATTATTACTTTTTATTTTGTTTATATTGAAACTTAAGGAAAAAAGTGATTTCTACATGACAACAGTTTAAACAAAACTAAATTGAAGTCAAGGAGTTATGATAGAAAATATTTAGTTTGCACCTTCTTGTTTGCCAAAAATTAATAACATTAAATTAAACTTCATACAGCATTGCAACAGTTTCTATAGCTATCAGTTCTTGTAGCCCATTGATTTATCTATCATCTGTGCCATTCCTTTTTAGGTTATGGCCTTTGGTCTTTTCATGATGGACTTGGAAAAAGGACCAAACATCTACCGCATGAATGATAGAAAGAGAATAAATCTTGCAAGAATAGACAAGATTCTTAAGGTTGGAAGATCCATTTAGTTAAATCCTGTATGTAAACTTTGAGAAATTTTCATTATAATTTTATATAAATGTCTACTGAATTAAGTATCAGTCAAAGAATATTTATATTTTAAACCATTTTCTGTTGATCTGCTCACTTCAGCAACTGGAGATGGTCCCCCTCTATGGAGACATGATGATTGCACCTTACAACTACATTAAAAATGGACCAAATTTCGACCCTTCAAAATGGCCAGCATGCGAGTCCAGCCATTTGAGCACACAGTCCAATCTGCTGGGCAGCCTGGAGATGATCAGAGAGAAGCACATGCAGTACATCAGTCAGCTGGCACGGCACAACAACGAGGTGACTCACAATGTTTCCTTGTTTTACTTGATTAGATGTGATGATACAAGGTTTCTTGAGGAGGTCTGGGTCATAGCACTCTTTTTTTGCAGTATACAAATTTGGCTCACTAACGCCAAGTTTAGTTTGAATGTAATATTCTGTCAATTAAAATAAATTGAAATAAATCACACAATAACTGTTTTTAGAAAAATCTTTTTTCATTTTTAATTATTAAAATAATTTAATCCAAAAGATATATAGGCTTTTGTCATTTTCTTTATAAAAAGAAAAAACAACTGTTTCATTAAAAACTTTAAAAAAAAATGTATTTGTTTCTTTCATTTAATTTTAATACAAATAATGTACATAATTTTTTTGTTTATTCCATATCCTGTGTATTAAAGCCCCGGTGAAATCTATCTTTCAGGCAACCACAACTATGAGGGAGACCCCAAGGAGTGACACAGAAAACAAAGAGCTGACGGAGCTGGCACTGAAAGGGTTAACGTTGTTGTCTAAATGGACGCAGCAGGTCATGGAACTGGTCAGTCGTGTTCTGGAATTAGTTTGGTTATACTGAGCTATTCAAAAGAAAATTATTATCGTTTGATATAAACTTTTTTTCTAACATTACAAAAACTATTTATCTTTGATTGTCCCTAGTTCTAACATTACAAAAACTATTTATCTTTCATTGTCCGTAGTATTCCTGGAAACTGATGAATCCTACTGATCCACACAGCAACAAAGACTGCCCCGAAACAGCAGAAGAGTACGAGAGGGTGAGCATCACAAGGTCTTCTTTAAGAGTTGCTGTATTTTAACACAAGCTGCTTGCTTTACTCTCGTATCCAAAATGTATGTGCTGTCCACAGCTTTCTTTAAATAGCTCATAATACATTATTAACATGAAAATATTATGCTGATTAAATATATATTTTATACTCTAGATTCATGTGCTCAGCTGTCATCTAATATTTAAAATATCAATCTCAAGCACTTTATGATTACATAGTATAAAAAAAAAAACCTTCTATCAAAGCCTTTTCCCCCTGATTGAAAGGTGAAACACAAGGTTATAATACAATAGACTCAACTATTTCAAGATGAATTGAGGCCAATTCATATCAGTAATCTGTAATAACAGATATTATCATTAACTACATCTGAATTGCTAATAAAATCATCAGGAGTCCCACTGTTTAAAAAAAAAGTCGCTAAGCCATTTTCATTTAAAAATTTTGGTTTATCTATTTAGTAATGAACTAAACATGATAGAATATGTTCACAGCATAAGAGAAAGTAGTTATGAATTTTTCTTGCTATTTTATATAGATGTCGATCCTTGTTGTGTCGATATAACTTGTTAGGAACATAGCTTGGTTCAATAATTAATACTATGATACATACCGATAGGAATGTAGCTTGGTTGAATAATTAATTCTGTGTTACATACCGTTAGGAATGTAGCTTGGTTAAATAATGAATTCTGTGTTACATACCGATAGGAATGTAGCTTGGTTGAATAATTAATTCTGTGTTACATACCGTTAGGAATGCAGGTTTGTTGAATAATTAATTCTGTGTTACATAAAGATAGGAATGTAGCTTGGTTGAATAATTAATACTATTGTAACGGACTATGTTTTCACATGTAAACAGAGAGGTAGCATGACTGGACAGTGAGTGTGTTCACCAGGTTTTTCCACGGGGAGAGACAATCAATGTGGATTGTATTTTTGAGAACAAATGTGAACTCCACGTTTTTGGAGAGTAAAATTATGTTTTGTCAGAGCGGTCGTTTTGCACGCTTTGCTGGTAATAATGTATGAGTTGACTGAGATAGTAGAGAGCTGAGCGCAGAGCAGTAGAGTCAGTCATTAGCGTGAGAGCTGTGAGATTAGACAGTTGAGCTGAGTTATAGTAGTCTGAGGACGTGTCTTTCTTAATGATGGAATACTATAGATATATATGTTGCCTGAATAATAAGTGAAAGAATGAAGAAGACTGAGTCGGCATCCTGAAGCGTTAATATAAGTAACCATACTACTGACATAACCCACAGCATAAGAAATAACATCCCACGCCATGTCAGAGTAGAAGTGTGTTACAACTATGATACATGCCGATGGGAATGTAGCTTGGTTAAATAATAAATTTTGTGTTACGTAACCATAGGAATGTAGCTTGGTTGAATAAAATTAGTACTATGTTACATACTGGTACAAAGTTTACTTTGGGTTAGTGGTGATGGTGGTGGTGGTTTTTTTTTTGGGGGGTGGGGGGTATAAGATTTTCCTGTTATAAATGTACTTTGCTGGGTCAAGTAGTTCATTACGGGTCAAGTAGTCTATTACAATTCTAAAGCTATTCAGAGAAACACTGTTTTTTTATGTCTTCGATTTACAAATAGGCGTGACTACATTTGCCTGATTGGATACATGTTTTTTTCACTAGGCAACACGCTACAACTACAGTCGTGATGAGAAGTTTGCACTCATTGAGGTCATAGCCATGATCAAAGGGCTGCAACTTTTGATGGCACGCATGGAAACAATATTTATGGATGCCATCAGACATCATATTTATGCTGAGCTCCAAGAGTTTGTTCAGCACTTTCTGAGGGAACCACTCCGGAGGGCAACGAAGAAGAAGAGTGATATCATTAGAGTGTGAGAAAAACATCAATGAAGCATCATAATGTGCTAATAGTGCAACATTTAAGTCATGTTTTCTCTACTTGGGTGTGAGGGGAGGTGGCATTTTAGGGGGGGCTGCGAAGAAATTTAAGACATGGTTCCTCAACCCTGGGGCGGCGGGGTGTGCATTTCAGGGGGTTGCGAGGAAACATGATTATTAAAAACAAGAAGCCATTGACTTATAAATGTTAAACTTTGAATTTCTTCATTAATATTTTATATAGTAACTTACAAGTTAATTATAGAATTTCTTAATTTTCTCTTAGAAATTAAATAAAAATTTTCTTTAATTTTTAAATTACAATGTTACTTTTGTAAAGGAGGAAAGGGGGGGGGGGGCGGGCTTAGCAAAACAAGTTGTAAAGAGGTGTGAGACTTGCTCAAATAATTTTTAAAGAGGAGTCAGTCATTGTCAAATAATTTGTATAGGGCTGTGAGACTTGGTCAAATCTTCATAGGATGTGCAGAATATAGAAAAGGATTGGAAACCCTTATTTAAGAGGTATAATTTCCAATGCCTATGGTAACAAAACTGATCACGTCAATATGCTTTTTTGAAATATTAAATAATTTGAAGGTGGCACCATCTAAAAAATGAATGTGTTCTCAAAACTATCTTTTCTAGTATTCTTGTAAATAAATAGCACTTCCTTCCCTTTGATTTGAAACATGTGAACATACAGTCTGTACAGTAGCATACTTTAAACAATTATCAGGGCCGGATTGAACATTTTAAATAATGAGCGCAATATAGCATAGGACTTAAGGGAGTAGGACATCAAGGAGTTAGGACATCAGAATGTAGGACAGCAATGTTTAGGACATCGCAGAGAAGGACATCATGGTGTAGGAGATCAAGTTATAGAATATCAAGTTGTAGGATATCAAGGAGTAGGACATTGAGGAGAAGGACATCAGCATGTAGGACATCTAAGAGTAGGACATGAAGGAGGCAGCTCAGAAAGCTGACTTTGCTGGATTGAGCACAGATGTAAAGTAGAAGTATAAAAGCAATCACACACATATATTAACTTCAGTCTAATTGCTAGTTTTAAATTACAAAGTTGTACTGTGTTACTTTTTTATACATGGGTACCAAAATGATGTAGGACTTAAGATTGTCTTAAGTGAGCCCAAGCACTATTTGACGTCTGCATATAAATGTTATGGTATCTTTAATTTTTCATGAGACTACTTTATTAAATCTACTGCCCTGTTGTGGTTACCCATTGCAATCTGCCTTACAGCATCATCATGTCAGTTAGAGACACCTGTGTTGATTGGTTGAGAGGCACGGAGCCGACAGATGACCCTGCCCTCAGTGGAAAGAAAGATCCACAAGATGGCTTCATGATCAAGGTTCCTCGGAGAAATGTTGGGCCATCATCGACACAAGTAAGAAACAGCTGTACATTCATACATTTGTTGGCTGTAAATGTACGCTTCTTTTGTTAGCTGTAAGATAGACTACCCGTTTAACACTGTTATGTAGAAGGTTCTGATAAATTACCTGTTTAATAGTGCTATGTTGAACAAGCTGATAGACTATATTTTCAATAATAATTTTATGAGTTGAAGAGAAATTTAACAAAATTTAAAGTACCTTTGAACATTCTTGAAGAGAAAATAATTAATCACTCCAAATTAAAACTGATAGAAAATAAAGTGTATCTTTATTAAAAAAAAAAAAAAAAGAAAAAAAAAAAAATAAAAAAACATTTAAAAAATCATAAAAAAAAAAAAAATAAAAACACCAAATAAAAAATAAAAAAAAAAAAAATGTATATTTAATAAAAAAAAAAAAAAAAGGTAAAAAAAAGAAAGATTACAAATGATTGTAATATTGAGCATCTGCTTATTTTAGAAAGTTCAATCTTTTACTCTTTAATTAAGAAAGTTTATGTTAGAAAATGCTGAGGGTTTATGACAATTATCTATTTAAATATAGTTGTTATGGTGCCTGCTGTTATCTCTCTGTTCTAGTTATACATGGTGCGTACTATGCTGGAGTCCCTGACAGATGAGAGAAGTGGTGGCAAGAAAAGCATGCGGAAAGAAATGGATGAGCAGCATGTGGCAATCATTGAGGAGTTCCATAGAAAGTCTTTCTTCTGGAACTATCTGCTCAACTTCAATGGTGGGTCATACATTATATTGCTCTAAAGAATATTTCTGATTACAGAGATCTTCTTTGTTTCTTCTTGTGCTGAAAAGTCTATTTAAAAAATAAATCTTCCTTATTCATCTTTTCCAAGTTAAAAATCAATAGAGAAAAAATGAATCCAATTTTATGTCATTGAGCAAAATGTGGATTATCTATGTAGGAGTGTAATGATAACACAAGTGATATATTTTGTAGATTATTTATTTAGGAGTGTAATGATAACACAAGTGATATATTTTATAGATTATTTATTTAGGAGTGTAATGATAACACAAGTGATATATTTTTGTAGATTATTAGTGTAATGATAAAACTAGTGATAAATTTTGTAGATTATTTATTTAGTAGTGTAATGATAACACAAGTGATATATTTTGTAGATTATTTATTTAGGAGTGTAATGATAACACAAGTGATATATTTTATAGATTATTTATTTAGGAGTGTAATGATAACACAAGTGATATATTTTTGTAGATTATTTATTTAGGAGTGTAATGATAAAACTATTGATAAATTTTGTAGATTATTTATTTAGGAGTGTAATGATAACACAAGTGATATTTTTTGTAGATTATTTATTTAGGAGTGTAATGAAAACGCAAGTGATATATTTATTTAGATTATTTATTTAAGAGTGTTATGATAACACAAGTGATATATTTATTTAGATTATTTATTTAGGAGTGTTATGATAACACAAGTGATATATTTATTTAGATTATTTATTTAGGAGTGTTATGATAACACAAGTGATATATTTTGTCATGTTACCTTTTTCATTACACTGGCTTAATAATTTTGTTTATAATAATACATAGTTGAATGTTGTTAACCTCCATTAAAATATTATTATTGAAGAATTTGTACAGATGGCTGAGTTATCATCTATGATTTATATTTTTGTCATAATTTATATTATTGTGATGCTATACCTTGTAATCTAGACACTATACAAATGATTATACCAATGACATATTTTATTGTTTACAGCATCCCTGTTTAACTGCTGTGACCTCTCACAACTTTGGTACAGAGAATTTTTCTTGGAACTAACAATGGGAAAAAGAATTCAGGTTTGTACAGAAAGGCTGTTTATTTTTAATGTTCCCTACTTGTTTGCCGGAAAGGCTTTTGGCCGACACATTAATTATTTTTTTGTGTGTAACACTTCAAGCTTTTTTTCTATTTTTTAGTTCCCTATCGAGATGTCCATGCCGTGGATACTAACAGATCACATCCTTGAGACCAAGGAACCGTCCATGATGGAGTAAGAGAGTTTTCTTATATATAATCTTCCTTGAAACTATGTCAAGCATTATTTTATTTTTTAATGAAAAGAAATCTGTCTCAAAGACATGAGGCAGATGGGACATTTTCTTAACCCATTTTTATTGGCCAAGCAACTATAGAAATAATATTAAGAAACTATTAAATTCTTGGTAATTTAACTCTCTTTTGGGTCAGTTGGGCATAGAGCTGAATGGAAGCTGGTTTAGTCTCCTGCTGGTCAATGGTGTGTTTATGTTGGCTTAATTATTTAGCTCCCATTTAGCCTGTTATACAGAGTGAGACAGAGTCTTTGGTGTGGTCTAACTCATGCTCTTGAATTGACAGGTACATCTTGTATCCCTTGGACCTGTACAATGACAGTGCCCAGTATGCTCTCATGAGGTTCAGGAAACAGTTTCTTTACGATGAGGTGGAGGCTGAGGTCAGTGCTTGAGAATCCTCAAATTTTAAAGTATTTCTTTTGTTTGATTCACTCTGTGGGAATATAGTGGCCAATAAAAAAACTATTTTGAGGTTAAAAAAATAACTGGATTTAGAGTTCCTGGTTGCATGAGAAGGTGTCAAACTCACCTAAGACACACTCCCCCCCCACCCCCCGAAATCAATATGTTAGCTATTTATTTCTTAGCAAAAATAAAAACAAATCAGGAGCGCCTTTCCCATGGATTCCTGCAGGACTTGAGCTCTGATTGTAAGAACTGGTTTGTCAGAGTTTTCAATTATTGTCTTTAAATAATAATTATTTGCTTTGAGACACAGTAGTTCAATGAATTGACGGTAATTAGAGTTAGAGGTTAAATATAGAATGAGTATCTATCAGCTTTACATTTATTGGTTTAAAAATAATAAGCACTTTAAAAAAAAAAAAAGAATTAATAAAAATTAATATATTTTAAATTCTTTTCTTGAAGTAAAATTCCAAAATTAAACATTTCTAATTTTATTTATGTTTTTAGGTGAATCTGTGTTTTGACCAGTTTGTTTACAAACTCAGTGACCAAATATTTGCATACTACAAACACCTGGCTGGAAGGTAAAACAAATTGCATTATTAGAACTTTCCTGTCTTAGATGTTCATGTTAAACTTTTAGAGTGGTACGTAGTTGACACCCTGTGAAAGTAATGCTCTGTAAATATTCAATAAAATGGCTTGAATTGAGTCAAGTTCTTTTATCTCCAGTATTATGCTAGACAAGCGGTTTAGAGCTGAATGCATGAGTAATGGCGAAAAGATCAACTACCCAGTGGCCAACAGATATCAGACTCTACTCAAGCAAAGACATGTGCAGGTGAGTTGTGCGTCTGTGTGTGATTAACTGTTTATGTACAGGGGAGTCATGTGGCTGTATGTGATTAACTCTGTTTATGTGCAGGTGAGTCGAGTGGCTCTGTGTGATTAATTCTGTTTATGTACAGGTGACTCATGTGGCTGAATGTGATTAACTCTGTTCATGTGCAGTGGAAAATCTAGAAAATACATGACATAGGGTAAAGCATCATTATATGGCCACAGGATTGTTATTTACATTCTTCTGATTGTTACTTTGATGCATGTAATTCTGAAGTTGAAATTCTGAATGTATTACTTCATGCTAAAGCGACAACAGTTGATGCTTAAGTGTTGATTGACTGCACACAAAATAGAGATAAAACATAATTCTTTTGAACACTTAACATCATTCAATTATAGCATTGTTTCTATGAGATACTTACGAGGCTGTCTTCAAGATTCAACTCAACAGTATTCATATTTTTGCTTTTGTTTACTGATTAAGTTTTTTATATGACCAAGAATTAAATTTGTTCTGATTCTAATTTCTACAGTTGCTTGGCCGCTCAATAGACCTGAACAAACTCATCAGTCAGCTGGTTAACTCTGCACTTCAGAAAGCCTTGGATGTTGCAATTTCTCGATTTGAAGGAGGAGATATAACAGGAATCATTGTAAGGAGCTTTAGACTTAGGTTAAAACAACTGGAATCATTGTGAGGATCTTTAGACTTAAAAACTTCATGCCCTAGGAAAGGGTTTATGTAAAACTAAATTTTCAATAACTTTATTAAGCTCTGCCAGCATAAGCTGTTTCCATCAGTGCACCATACTATCCTAATGTGTTTCCATCAGTGCAGCATACTATCCTAATGTGTTCCATCAGTGCACCATACTATCCTAATGTGTTTCCATCAGTGCACCATACTATCGTAATGTGTTTCAATCAGTGCACCATACTATCCTAATGTGTTTCCATCAGTGCACCATACTATCCTAATGTGTTTCCATCAGTGCACCACACTATTCTGATGTGTTTCCAACATTACAGCAGTAGGTATAAGATCTGAGATATCTTGGGGAAAACCTCACTATGGGTAACAAAAAATTAACAAAACAAGTAAAATTTATTTAACAAAGGAAGTTGTTAAATATGCAGCTTAAAAAAAAGTTATTACTATGTTTATGTAACTAATAAAGATCAGGCTTGTAATTAATGTTCATGTTCCCCAGGAGCTGGAAGGCTTGATAGAGGTCAACAGACTAGCTCACAAACTCATGGGGGAATATCTACTGCTCAATGACTTTGATGCCATGTTGAAAGAGGCCAACCACAATGTCAGCGCCCCCTATGGGAGGATAACTCTTCATGTGTTTTGGGAGCTTAATATTGATTTGTTGCCCAACTATTGCTACAACGCAGCCACAAATAGGTAAAATTCCATTCTTAATATCACATAATAGGTCATCCATTAGCTGGCCAACTATTGCTACAATGCTGCCACAAAGAGGTAAAATTCCATTCTTAATATCACATAATAGATGATCCATTAGCTTAACATTGTTTTGTTGCCAAACTATTGCTACAATGCTGCCACAAATAGGTACAAGTACAATGCCATTCTTAATATTACAAAATAGGTCATCCATTAGCAGAGAGAATTAATCATTACCTCCACAACACCTGGGGGTAACTGGTTCTCCTTCTTGAAAATAAAAAAGACTCATTCCTAGAATGTAACTACTAGACCATTCTAAACTATTTACATTGATGTCACTCAGCCTCTCTGTCACATGCTGACACCATCTGTTCCATGCTGACACCATCTGTCACATGCTGTCACCCTCTGTCACATGCTGACACCCTCTGTCACATGCTGTCACCCTCTGTCACATGCTGTCACCCTCTGTTACTGTGGGTGGCGAATCACTGTTCCGGATCTGTATCTATTTAGAACATGGTTGTGTGGATGTTTTGCCATGTTTATCCACTGGAAGAATGGATAAGTCCATTAACCAGACATTAGTGCAGCCTAGTAAATTAATACCTTTGCTGAATCAGCATGTTGATTCACTGAATATGACAGCATGTTGATTCACTGAATATGACAGCATGTTGATTCACTGAATATGACAGCATGTTGGTTCACTGAAAATGACAGCGTGTTGATTCACTGAATATGACAGCGTGTTGATTCACTGTTTATGACAGCGTGTTGATTCACTAAATTTCACACATTAGACAATTAATAACCCCAGAACTTTAATAAACCAGCTTTGTTTATAAATCTTTTGTCTAGATTCGTCAAGACAAGATTGCCATTTGAAAAAGAGACCAAGAGAGAGAAGCCACCAAACCCGTCTGTGCATTACGTGTGGGGGACAAAGGTCAATATTTATATAGCATTTAGAAACTACAGACCAGAGTATCAACAAATGTGCTTTTAATCATAAATCTTATCCAATTTAAACAGTTTTTTTTTTATTTTGTCTTTATGGTAACAGCATTATTGTAAGTTCAATAAGATGCCACTACCTTAAATTGAATGTAACAAGAGAAAAATTGTTTCTTTTTTATTTATCCAAAAAAATTTAACAAGTAAATTATTTGAACAATTTTTCAGAGGTTGAATCACTCGTTCAGCACGATCTACAGCCTTTATACAGGATTTATAGGAGCGCCCCACTTTAGGGCCATTTGTAGACTCCTTGGATACCAAGGGATTGCTGTAGTCATTGAGGAATTACTCAAAACTGTGGAGAACTTTGTAAGTCAACATCTCAACATTTTAATTGTGTTATGGCAAGTATTGTGCCGGAAAGACCCTTTTTTATGGTAACTTGCGAGAATTTAATTAATTCATTTAATATACTTTTTAAAAATAAAAGATGATATCTCTATCCAAATCTCTATCATTTTTAAGTATTTTTGTGTTCACATTAAAATGCTTGCTTTTGATCTCAGCTGACTGGAACCACCATAGAATACGTAGCAACGTTAATGAGGGTGATGCCAGAAAACTGCAAACTTTTGAGATTTGATTACGGCTCTCCAGGTCAGTTACTTAGTTAATCATGGCCCTCCCGGTCTGTCTACTTTGTTAATCATAAACAACATTTGAAACTTTTTGGTTTTGCTTAGCTTGTCAAGTATTTCCTTGGTATCTTTTCTGTTTACAAATATAATACAGGGAACTTAAGTTAGATAGAATCTTATCAGCTCTAGACTTTATAATTACTTCTAGATGTACCGTAATGGGCTTATGATTGCTTCTAGGTGTAATGGGCTATTACCAAGTACAACTGGGAGATCTTATACAGTACCCTGATCTGAGGACAGAAGTTTACCAGAGTTTTCGAGAGATCGGCAATGCTGTGTTGTTCTGTCTGCTGGTTGAACAAGCTTTGGTGTGTGAGCACTTAGAACAAAACACATTTAGAACAAAGCACATTTAGAACAAAGCACATTTAGAACGAAATACACTCAGAACGAAACATACTTAGAACAAAAGACACTTAGAACAAAACACACTTAGAGCAAAACACACTCAGAACGAAACACTTAGAACAAAACACACTTAGAACAAAACACACTTAGAACAAAACACACAACAAAACACACTTAGAACAAAACACACAACTAAACACAATCAGAAGGAAACACACTTAGAACAAAACACACTTAGAACAAAACACAGAACAAAACACACTTAGAACAAAACATACTTAGAACAAAACACACTTAGAACAAAACACACATAACAAAACACACAGAACAAAACACACTTAGAATAAAACACACTTAGAACAAACACACTTAGAACAAAACACTTTGAACAAAACACACAACAAAACACGCTTAGAACAAAACACACAGAACAAAACACACTTAGAACAAAACACAGAACAAAACACACTTAGAACAAAACACACTTAGAACAAAACACACTTAGAACAAAACACACAGAACAAAGCACACTTAGAACAAAACACACTTATAACAAAACACACTTGGAACAAAACACACAACATAACACACTTAGAACAAAACACACTTATAACAAAACACACTTAGAACAAAACACACAACAAAACACACTTAGAACAAAACACACAACTAAACACAATCAGAAAGAAACACACTTAGAACAAAACACACTTAGAACAAAACACAGAACAAAACACACTTAGAACAAAACATACTTAGAACAAAACACACAGAACAAAACACACAGAACAAAACACACTTAGAATAAAACACACTTAGAACAAACACACTTAGAACAAAACACTTTGAACAAAACACTTTGAACAAAACACTCAGAACAAAACACACTTAGAACAAAACACACTTAGAACAAAACACACAGAACAAAGCACACTTAGAACAAAACACACTTATAACAAAACACACTTGGAACAAAACACACAACAAAACACACTTAGAACAAAACACACTTAGAACAAAACACACAGAACAAAGCATACTTAGAACAAAACACACTTATAACAAAACACACTTGGAACAAAACACACAACATAACACACTTAGAACAAAACACACTTATAACAAAACACACTTGGAACAAAACACACAACATAACACACTTACAACATAACACACTTGGAACAAAACACACAACATAACACACTTACAACATAACACACTTGGAACAAAACACACAACATAACACACTTACAACATAACACACTTAGAACAAAACACACTTAGAACAAAACACACTTGGAACAAAACACACAACATAACACACTTACAACATAACACACTTGGAACAAAACACACAACATAACACACTTAGAACAAAACACACTTATAACAAAACACACTTGGAACAAAACACACAACATAACACACTTACAACATAACACACTTGGAACAAAACACACAACAAAACACACTTACAACATAGCACACTTAGAACAAAACACACTTATAACAAAACACACTTGGAACAAAACACACAACAAAACACACTTAGAACAAAACACACTTAGAACAAAACACACAGAACAAAGCATACTTAGAACAAAACACACTTATAACAAAACACACTTGGAACAAAACACACAACATAACACACTTAGAACAAAACACACTTATAACAAAACACACTTGGAACAAAACACACAACATAACACACTTACAACATAACACACTTGGAACAAAACACACAACAAAACACACTTACAACATAACACACTTAGAACAAAACACACTTATAACAAAACACACTTGGAACAAAACACACAACATAACACACTTACAACATAACACACTTGGAACAAAACACACAACATAACACACTTACAACATGACACACTTAGAACAAAACACACTTATAACAAAACACACTTGGAACAAAACACACAACATAACACACTTACAACATAACACACTTGGAACAAAACACACAGAACAAAACACACTCAGCAAGAAACACACTTAGATATTCAATCTTTCAATACTTACCAACAGCAAGAATTTTAATGGAACTTATAATTGTAATGTTAGCAATAACATAATATTTATAAATTTCATGAAAGCATCTTTTTGATATATAATATAATTCAGTCTTTTTGTTATGAGAATAAAATGCCATGTACCTTGTGATATAGTCAATAGATTTTTCTATCTCACAGACTCAGGAAGAAGTGTACGATCTGAAACATGCAGCCCCATTTCAGAACATGATACCCAAACCTTACATTCCTCCTAAAGGTGGGCGACCATTTGCTGGTGGTTTAATGAAATACCTTTTATTTAAAAACGTATAACAATTACGACGACTTCAAATATTCTTACAGTCCTAATATGAATGCAGATGACAAGCAATAAACATTTTTGACCTTAGCACCTGACCAGGTTCATTGTTTTCTGTAAGACCTGGAACCTGTTTTTCGAATGTGTACTGATTGATCTGTTCTGTCGCCAGAGGGTAAGGACAGAGAGGCAGAAGCCAAGGCTGTCATGAAGCAGCTGGAGAAGAAATATGCTGCACTCAAGGTCGTCCATGTCATTGAAAAGTTGGGGAACAAAACGGTGAGTGACTGAAAACCTGTCAGTGTTACTGTGAACCTGCCATTGTTACTGTGAACCTGCCAGTGTTACTGTGAACCTGCCAGTGTTACTGTGAACCTGCCAGTGTTACTGTGAACCTTCCAGTGTTACTGTGAACCTGCCAGTGTTACTGGTAGATGTGACAGATTCATTGTTTGTTGTGTTTAGGATATTGAATGAATGTGTTCCCGATCAGTTAAGATACTACAGGTGGACATTTTTCTTAGAAAAATGTTTTAAATACTAGTTACTGATACAAAATAGCAGAGAAAGCAGAGTTAGCAGATATAGAAATAGAAAGATATTAAAGGCCTTAAGCTTACAACTAAATTTGGTACAATTTTTTACTTATTTGTTATAAAATGGTTGGCAGGCCTTTCCTAAAATAATAATGAATCTTGATGTTAAACTAATATTGATCTTTTCACCAGCAAGCACTCATTGCCAGCGATGGCGACCTTTTAACCAGAGAGAGGCTCTGCTGCGGTCTGTCTATATTTGAGATTGTCCTGAAACGTATCGAGTCATTCCTCAATAACCCTCTGTGGCACGGGGATGCTCCGTCCAATGGAGTTATGAATGTTGATAAGTGCAATGAGTTCCATCGACTGTGGTCTGCCATTCAGTTTGTCTACTGCATTCCTGTTGGAGAAAATGAGTTCACCGTAGAGTAAGTTATGTCAGCTTTACAGTCTATTCTCAGTTTACAAAGATGCTACAGTAGCCTGTTTGTTTACAAGTTAAACTTTTTGTTTTTGAATATTTAAAAAAAATGTTCCAGATTAATTCTGAAAGCTTAATTTAACTGGTAACCGCAAATTTTTTTCGCATAGATGCCAATTTTTAATCCCATGCCAAGTTGTGGCTGATATTTTATGATTTTTGTGGTTGAGGTATTTAACTCGGGCTTCGCCTCCCCCCCCAAGAATAGCTGCCTAGTCTGAATAGAATATACATTCCCATGGCTGCTTCACTTGGTTAACTAGTCTGTTGCACTCATGGCTGGAAAAACCTAATTCTTTAAAAAAAATTTTTTTTTTGCAGGGAACTGTTTGGTGAGGGCTTAAATTGGGCAGGGTGTGTTCTTATCACCTTGTTAGGTCAGCAGAGGCGATTTGAAGCACTTGACTTCTGCTACCATTTACATAAGGTCAATCGTGTGGACATGAAAGATGAAAATGTCAAAGGCATTGTGAGTTCCTCAACATGTTATGATACATATATCACCCATATGAATGAGCCAATGGTTATATAACCATTCTTGCTAATGCTTCTCTATAAAACTTGATAAATTATGGAAAAAATACATTTCTAGAATAACAATAATTTTATTTTGAGTGTTAAGAAATAATTGGATTCCATCACAGAGAGACAAATCCTCCCATTGTAGTATTTTTTAAAAAGAAATTAGTTAAAAAAACAAAAGTTTTAATCATATTTTATTCTGAATTATAAATTCATTTTTGTTGAAGTCATCATTAATGTATTTATGTTTTCTCAGCATACTTTTATTTAAAGCATTTTTTCCCCCTTTCTTTCACAGCAACTCAAAAAAATGGTTGACAGAATCAGAAAGTTCCAGATACTGAATAACCAGATCTTCTCTGTCCTAAATAAATACCTGCGTACAGGTGACAACGACAGCATGCCCACCGAGCACGTCCGGTGTTTCCCACCACCCATCCACCAGTCTCTTGCCACAGCCATTTGAAGGTATTGCCCTAACCTGAATAATCAACATCCGTTAGCTGCTCATTACCAGGACAAATTCATGGTTTAAAAGTTGTTACAGCAACATGCAGTGCTTACATAGTTGCTGACAGTGACAAACTTGTTTTGATCTTTATGTGACGCAGCCAGTCAGTTAACTATGTCTATTTATAAATTATTAAAAAAAATGTTTTTACAATTTACTGCATAAGACATAATTTAGGCTCGTGAAAAAATTATTGTTAAACTTGAAATGTTTTTGTTAAGAAATTTGTACTAGCCCGCCACCATCTATGAAAATGGAATGAATACAAAAATTTAAAAAAAAAAAAAAAAGACTTATTTGATCTGAAAGTTGTCAGAGGACTAAAGTGAGCTTAAAATTGATGAATGTTTCCTTCTCAATTGAAAAACATTGAGATCGATTTTGAATTTTAGGCTCGTGAAAAAATTATTGTTAAACTTGAAATGTTTTTGTTAAGAAATTTGTACTAGCCCGCCACCATCTATGAAAATGGAATGAATACAAAAATTTAAAAAAAAAAAAAAGACTTATTTGATCTGAAAGTTGTCAGAGGACTAAAGTGAGCTTAAAATTGATGAATGTTTCCTTCTCAATTGAAAAACATTGAGATCGATTTTGAAGCAAATTTTAGGGATGTTATTTATAAATAAAAATGTGGACTGGAAACAGTTTTCCCACCCTCCTGCAGTATCATCAAGACAATTGCAAGAATTATGAATGATTAGGGGACTGTACTCTTAATGACTTTATTATGTTATGTTTACAAAGGCATAAGAGTTGCTCTGCTTTTAATCTCATGTTGAATAATGTCATTAGTGCATAGAATTCAAAACAATTTGCAATAAATGTAATAAATTAATTCCTATAATCTCGCACACTGTTTTCTCCATACTTTGTATTTATTTTTTATGGCTTTTAAATTGAACTTATTTTGTTAACCTAATATCTAGGATTTCAATATTAAAATTATTCACATTGATAAATATTTGTAATTTGTTTTGTTCAAGATCTGGAACCTTTCTCCCATTTAAATTTTTGTTTTTTTCTCTCTATTGACAACTTGCAGAACACTACTTATTTAAAGAGGAATTGACACAAGCATTAAAGTGTACAGATTTATGTAAAATATTCCTTGAGCATTTTTTGTCTCCCAGTAATGTTCTAACAAATGTTTTTAGTCAAGAGAGAACAGAGGTGCAGTGTGGAAGATGGACAATAGTTGTCATTCAGGTTAAAAAAAAAAATGAATTTCAAGATGTGTTTTTGCTATGATTGATATTTATTATGTTAGGAAACTGAGTTGAATAGTGACTTTAACGAGTTTATACTTTAAAACATGGTGTCCCTTTTGGAGATGCTTGGCATTATGGAGATGGAAGTGTCTGATGTTGATTTGGTCATGTCGAGGCACATTTAAAATGAAACCATTCAGAGCAGGGTAACAATTTTAGTGTTAAAAATTTGTTGGCAAAATCTAAAACTATACTTTATGGTGTATGAAAAATGAGACTTACGTAAGGTTAGATAGTAAATAAACAATTTCCTTGTGCCTGTCATTAAATGTGTGTGTGGGTCATTCAATGTCTGTGTGTGTGTGTGTGCAATTCAATTTGTGTGTGTGTGTGTAGTTCAAGCACACAAGATGGAGCTAACAATGCCAGAGAGTACAATTTTAATGCATAATTGAAGTTAGTAACTTGAGGACTTGACTACCAACAGTTGTGTTGTGTCATTCCAGGGAATCTAAGCCTTTAGACGGTCTTCATTATGATTAATTTCACATTAACTTTTAATTCAAGTGTAAATATGACATCATTAAGGAGTAACAATAAAAATCTCACAGACTCTTTTACAGCAGTCGTTATCAATAAACAGATTGAGAAATATTGGAAAGACTTTGAGTAAATAGGTTGTCTAATTGTGTGCAGCGTTAATAAAAACAACCAATTTTATATGTGTGTGTATGTAAAAAATGAAAAGTATGTTCCATTTTCATTCAATTGTCCAAAAGTATGTTTCAGGTTTTAGTTTTACTCAAAGCTTGAAATTATTTTGTGTTGTACCGGTATGTAATTGTGTGTGATTGACTCTAGACATCTATCACTGATTTATGGAAATGCCTTTTACAGTATCAATAACTGTCACACAATAGTGGACTAAACTAAGTGGAATCAGAAGTTTATTAATTAATTAACGCCAAGGTTCTGGTACAGGGTTTTCTAAGTCAACCCCCAACTCAATCTGGAGAAACCTACTAGACAACCTACTGTACATTTCAGTGACATCTGCTCAACATCAATTTTAAAGAATCCCAAACTTCTAAACAAATCTTTTAATCCTGTCTAATATTTAAGTTAATTTAACGGGGTTGAGGGGGGAGTGTGGTGTGTTAAGCCATTCTGTGGTGTGTACACCATTTGTTAATGATGATCATAGAAAACATATTGTGGGCCTCAGATTCACTAACCATGAAAAATTCCTTTGTATTTGCACACACTCTAGCGTTGAACTCTATACTTGTATTTATATGGTGGCTGGTTTTAATGCCAACCACTTTTCTGTATTCAAATATTTGTTACTATTTGTAATTTTGTGTCATTTTTTACACTGCATGCCTGAAATAAAGGAACAGAGGAGCTGTTACTGGTTTCTGTTTTATTTTCTCGACTTAATAAATAGCCGTCAAATATTATTACTGGAGGGTAGCATACTCATGGAGGGATGGTTTTGTTCTGAAACTTTGACTCAGGTTTTGTGTTCAATAATTCTGCATCACAGATACATATTTTTTTAATAAAGGATAAGGAAGATTCAGAAAGACTTGAGTTATATAGAGCTAGGTTACGTTTAATGGTAAAAGTCTGAGTGAAATGAACAACAAATACAGGGTAATAAAGAATTACATTTGTAAAACATCTACAGGAGTTAAGAATAGCGCAGTGTTTCTCAAATACATTGCACCCATGTAAAAATCTACCAGACGATAGGAAAAACTTGTTTACAAAGTCAAAATTTTCACACAATCGATAGCGCCCAAATATTTTCTATTTCCTTTTAAACAGAGAAATTGATAAGTTCAGCTGTCACATGCTCCCATCTAAATTTTAAACCTGTCACATGCTCTCATCTAAATTTTAAATCTGTCACACGCTCCGATCTAAATTTTAAATCTGTCACATGCTTTCATCTAAATGAGCTGATCCCATTATTTTCTTTTTGAGAAACACTGATGGCATTAAATGATAATAATTTGGTTTCCAAATAAATAAAAGTTAAAAAATAAAATCTGTTCGCATCACAGAACTGTTACTTTTGTTTTAAAGATTCTATGGAATCATTTCCCTGTAGATTTTGTAATTTCAGATATGTAAATTCATAATTTTAGCCAAATTAGGTGGACTAACAAAATATAATAAATAAGGCACAAGCCAAGCAATGTTTGAATTTCCAAAATTTGAATTGACCAAAACCATGCTATCTCAGTATATGTCACACATGTAAAAAAAAAATTAGGAACAATGTCTGATTAAGCTTTACAAAGTAAAAAAAACCAAAGGAACAGCAATAAGAACCAGCTACTGACACAAAGACAAAACATTCCTGTTACAGCCGTGCACTCATGGAGTGCATGCAGCTCCAACAATACAACTCTTCAATGCCATTCTAAGAAATGATCAAACATCTACCATCTTTCTATGAGGCATTTTAATTTAGTCCAGAAATAAATTTATTCCTCCTTTTATAGCAACTCAAAACTACTTGATGCAGCATTCATTTGGTGCTGATAGATTGTACACAGGAGCATAACAGTGCTCATACATTGTACAACACAGGCACATACTAGTGCTCATAGGTTCAGCACAGGAGCATACCAGTGCTCAAATTAGAGAGCTGCTTCCATGCATGTCTAAATAGTAAGCTTACAACCAATGATTGAAGATGAAATCATAGGATCCTTTCTTTAGCACATATTGCTGTTGGCTATCTCTTTAAAATACAATTTTCAAGAAACCGTGGCACACATGTATTTGTTCTTTGTACAATTATTTATAACATCATGAAATTATGTCAATCTCACCAAAATGGACCTTTGACTTGTAAGAAAGATACATTGCTTATGTCAAGAATGAGGTGCATTTCCTATTGACAAGTCTACTTGATGCTGCCTTCATCAGCTCATCTTATCTCTTTAAGACACCATATTGACACACACAACTGGGTGAACACAGGGGACATGACGTCAAACTAACACTGCTCTAAAATAGTACAATTGTTAACTCTGTGACCAATGGGATAAAAGTTTAATAATAATGTAAAATTATTCAAAATTGACTTGACCCCAAACTGTAGTAAAAATCAAGCAAAATCTTCACAAACACTTTCTTACATAGAACTGTTTCATGTTGAATTTAACACATCTTTTAAAAAATATCTATTCTCCTGTCACAGACGACCCAGATGAATCAAAGAATGAGCAGTCCTGATGTAAATGAAAAAGTCCCTGTCAAAGCATCTCGTCTTTAATTCAATCTCGTCTTTAATTCAATCTCGTCTTTAATTCAATCTCGTCTTTAATTCATCATGTTTTAGCCATTTTAATTTAAAGACATTTAAACATTTAACTTAAATAAAAAGGAAAAATTCTAAGACCCTTAAAGCAACTATCATGTGTTCTATTCCCAGCTCACAAGAAATACAGATTTGTTCTACGGTAACCATAGTGATCAACTAAAATGCTTGACTGCAGTTGCCGCTGTCTCTTTATAGTTTGTAAACAAATAAAATTGAAGTCGATTTAAATAGTTGGCCAGTGTCCCCAAGTACACGTATGTGAAATGGTTAAAAATACTATTTTCAATTAAAAAAAACCCAGCTATCATCCTAGTTTACAGTATAACTACACTTTTAAAATAATCATTGACTGGGAAGACAGCCAACCGAATTCCAGGTAGACAGAGTTACAGGTAGATACTTTGAACTTTAAAGTTCCCCATACGATACTAGATGACTCAATATCTCAAGAGTACAACATTGTATAATTAGAAAACCACAATTTACAAAAATCAAGAAAGAAGTGGCAGGTGAACATGAAATGTTCACAACAATGACTGCTTAATATGTTCAAGCAAACATTTAAAAGATCACTGTTTATATATGCCCTGGCCTGGACAACACAAATCAATTTTATTAAATACAAGAGCCATGGTTACAATATGTGCAACTTCAATGCATGTAATAGAACCATTTGCATGAAACATAACAGAGCTAATGTTTAAAAAAAAAAAAAGAACATCTGAGCTGCAACTAAAAGCACTCAGCCTCATTTGCATCTGAGAACATTGAAATAAACCAAATGCATTAAAATAATGTAATGTTTGAAACCAAGTTTTCACATGAGTAGTTCATAAATTAGTGCTGAACAGAAATATATTCTACTGTGCATTAGTAACACTTATGCAATGAAAGAGAAATTTAAATATTCAGAATATAAAAACAACTTTCAAGAACATGATGATAACATCAATACACACTTCTACCATTTTATTTATTACCATATCATACACACTTTTATCATATCAATACACACATTTACCATGTCAATACACCTTCTACCTTATCAGTCCCTTTGTATTGAAAACAATTATTGTACACATAACAAACTTTCAGTTTGGAAATCTCCACATCAATTATCATATTTTACCAACATGACAACCCTCACAACTCCACCCCGGCACTCACAACTCCCCCCCCCCTCACACCTCCAACCCCGCTTAAAAAGACACAAACAAGTGAGACAGCCAGGAGAACATCTTTTATTCGTAAAATCTGACATCCTGTCTTGGATAAATACAATTTTGGTACTCAATAATATTCCCTTTACAGAAAACTGATTAAAAAATCTCTAAGGTAGTATTTCAGGCAAGTGAATTGCATAATATTCTAGGAGATAGCAGATCTCAGCTTCAGACTCACAAGACGATAGTGTTAAGATAGCTACAAGGAAACAATGAGCATACCAGACGTTTACTGACCCATGCCAAAGTGAGGTAAATAAACCGACTTCAGTCTCATGAAAACTACTGCTCTAAGATATTCCTAAATTAACATTTTCAAGGTTTTGAATTGTAAGCAATGGGACACAGCTTTCTAGAAGTTTTGATTTAAACCCCTAGCAACCACACAAACATTTAAAATAAAAACACAAATTAACATTTTATCTTTGTTCTCTCACAGCACTTTAAAAAGATAAAAACAAACGTAACGTTGAACTCACTAAGTAACACATTTCACTTAAACTCTTTGTGATGTGTCAAGAGGTGAACCATTATAAATACCGAAGGAATGCATCTACGAGGTTAGGATGCTTGGACTTCAGGTCCCAATCTGGAGACGAACCATATACCTTTGTGAAGGAGGTTTCTCACAATCTGTGGACACTGGGGTTTTGTACACAGGTATTCTGTGGCCTGACGGAACTCGGCAAACAGATACCTGGGGGGAATCAAATAGTTCTCATAAGACAATGATTTGTATTGGCAGTTGTTACAGAATATAAGAAGTGGTGGCAGAGAGATATACATGGAGGAATGCGTACAGGTTGAAGCATTAAGACAGAGCCGTTGTCTGTTTCTTTGCTGTCGTAGGTTTTTTGGCGGAAACACCCGCGTTTTTGTGTTGTCCTTTTTCACATTTTCCTGCACCTTCTTATATTTCCTATACCAATTAGTTTTGGTTAGTTTCAAATAGAATACATTGTTTTGTGTCACTGAGACCAAACAGCGAACATTTCAAACCAGCAATTGCTCGGTTTTTTGCAGTTATCTGAAGGAAGTCATTCAAACTACCCAGGCTTAATAAAACAAACCATGGACCTGACATCCAGTGACACCAAGTGTCTAGCATAAGATATAAGATGTTTGAATGTTTAACTTACTAGCTTTCAAACATATTAAATGTGATTTGTTCATGCTGTCTTACAACAATGCCAGTCATACCTATGAGGCTCATTTAAAAAGGGGACTAAAAATAACCAAAAAAAAAAAAAAAAAAAAAAAAGGAAATGAAGTAGCCTCCTACCGGTTATAGGGATTCCTCCGTGAAGTGTACCTCAACGCCAAGAACCGGTAATATATAAACGGTAGGAAAATGGTAGCTTTCCCGCTGAAATGAAAATATCATATATTCTCAAGCACCTTGAAAGGTTTAATGAATATTTAATTTCACTCAAATTTTATGGTTAAAAGTAAATTTTAACAATTTTTCAGACTTCTCTTCGTCTCAAACCATTATTGACCAGCTAGGCACTTGAAAAGTTAAAAATAAAATCGGGTTCACTTGTTATGTCAGCAGGCATAATTTTACTGTTACGAAGCTTACCTAAAAATGAGAATGACAATGGCTGGCATCAGGAAAATTTCTGTACTAGCAATGAACCTTAGGATGTTGACTTGTTGGGCTTCAAGCTTTGTAATCATCCCTCGTACAAACATCAGAGATTGTGGACCCATCAGCTGTGGGGACAGATAGCAAAAGAGATTTGTACAATTTAACCGGCACCAATATTTTTAAAAAATCAGCAGCAGTATTCATTTTAAACAAGAGTTGAAGGACGAACATGATCAACCAGAATTTACAGTTATATCATAAAATATTGACAGCTATATCAGGTGATACCATGAGAGAAATGAAAGTAAGACCAGGTTATACCATTTTTTAATGAATGATAAAAAAAAAAAATCCCTAATAGTCAATAATCCAAATAGAAAAATGTGTCTTAGGTGTGTTAAAAAAGTGATAAATGCCAAAGCAAAACATGATAATTATGGTAAATATGACAGAAAGACAGGACAAAAATCACCAAAATGTAAGCAATGTTTTAAATGTGTCTTTTTCTTGAATTATTTGACACTTTAAATGTACATGTATACATTGTTCTGTACATGTATACCTTGTATATCTTATAGAACACAAGTAACCAAAGCTCCAAGGAAAAAAAAAAATTAAAATTAAAACAGGGCAAAAATGTAAACTGCTAAATTGTAATTGATGACTCACATTGAGCACAGTTTTTGTGAATGAGCAGGCGTGTAACAAGGCAAACAGAAACACTGGAATCAGTGACACTGGGTTCAGGTCAAAGAAAAAACAGCTTTGTCACATGCAAACATTAGTCAAGTATTTCTTACAACATTACATGGAGTTTAATATTGAAATATCTCCAACTTAAACTAAGGCCTGCAGCTTACAGAGGTACTAGACCGTACGTTTGATGCTACTGAACTAATGCCAGCTGAAGTAACATCAACCTGTTATTCTTAGACAAGAATTCTCTAACCCACACTTATTGATCAAAATATAGGTTGAAAATTAAAAAAAAAAAAAAAGCAATATGCTGCTGTGTTATTTCATGCCACCTCAAAGTTGTCAATGAGGAAATTAATGTCAACTGATACGGTTCAATATGTAAAGACAGATTGGGTCAGGGCCAATGTTCATTCTATCTACTTATAATCTGCCAGAAAAAATGATCACTGTCAATTATAAATTGGAACGCAAACTGTTTTTGTCCTATTTTAAATCGTGTTATAGTTATTTAAAAAAAATTAAATTAACTTAAAATCCACAGAAAGAGTTGCAAAAAAAGGATACTGGTCATTGGGTAAGTATTGAGGAATATAATACAATACATCAGGTAATGACTGGCGTCTTCGGCAAACAGATCACGAAGGAAAGCCATGTTGAGCTGAACATTGGGCAAGCGTTGATGCAGGCGTAAAGCGCTTGTGGCCGCAGCTGAGAGTAAAGCTCGATGATAAAAACTGTACGGGTTACCCCTGAAAATAACCAAAACAACACATTTAAGAGAATATGAATCTCAATTTTTACACAGACGCCCTCTTTTTAAGCATTAAAATAAAGTCAACTAAAACTGGTTACTGACAAAACTCTGACTGACCCTAATATTGGGAGTAAAAACAAAACTGAGCAGATGACTGTGAAGATTCTTGTTAACCACAGAGTTGTTTCCACCTTGTGTTGCATCATGTGGGCCTGTCAAAAAATGTTAATTAAAATTATTACGTCGATGACGTGTTCATGTCATATTTCCCCGTGCTGTGAATTCTAGCAGACAACAAGCAAGTCATAACTGCATTTAAGGTGTGGCTAGCTAAACATAGCCTCTTGACCTAAATCCAATCAATCGTCTGTTCTAGTCTAATTTTATAGCAATAACCTGGACTAAACTGGAAAGGAAAACAATGTGTAAGGCAGTTCCAGATTCATGAGTAGAACAGACTATAAAAGGCGGAGAGCATTTTTTATGGAGAAAAGATTTTTACTTTATGGGACGACAGGCTAGAATATATTTTTAGTGAGTGTTATTCTTGATAGAGCTGTGTTTACTTATATGTGTGAATTCCTTTCATCGTTGTACCTTATTTTTTGGCACATTGTAATTTTCATCAACTTTTGTACCGGTACAAGAAACACAATACTCTGTAAGTTAATGATTTTAATTATATTTCTTTTATTTTGTGATTTATTAGTAACTTAATAAAACTTATTAATTGTAATTAGCCCTGTTTTGAGTGTCGTATTCTGTTATTATTTTATCATTTGGTATCGTCTTATTATGCACTGTTTTGGAATTTATTTATTTATTTAGGCATTTTTATATAGCGCTTATCATAAAGCTCTAAGCGCTTTACAATTATTAAAACATGTAAACTAAGTAAATACAAATGAGACACTAGGATAGTAACTACTATTCTATAGAAACAATGAAAATGGCTATAAAACGAGGACACTTTGACACTTCAGGATCAACCCGAAACAGAAAATGAGGTAGGGCAAGGAGGGTGCATCACAGGTCATAGGCGGACCTAAACAGATGAGTTTTAAGGGACTTTTTGAAAATGGACGAGGTTTCACTATGACGTATATGGAAGGGGAGCTGGTTCCAGAACGTGGGCCCATGGAAGCAGAAGGAGCGTTCACCGATGGTCTTAGTTTTAGTTCTTGGGATTGAGAGGGTTCTACTGTCAATGGAAGAACGTAGTTGTCTTGTGGGGATGTAAGGAAGCAACAGTTCAGAGAGATAGACAGGAAAGTGAGGGTCAGTGAACGAGTTGAAGCAAAGATTGGCAGACTTGTATTTGATGCGAGAGGATATTGGAAGCCAGTGGAGTTGCCGCATGTGTGGTTGAATGTGGTCATGTTTCTTTAATTTAAAAATGAGTCTGCATGCTGAGTTCTGTGCCTTCTGAAGTTTTTCTATGTGGTGTTGAGGAATGCCTGAGAGAAGAATGTTACAGTAGTCAAATTTTGAAAGAATGAGTGAAGAGACGAGAGTTTTTGTGGCATCAAAGGAGAGGAGGTGTCTAATGGTGCTGATTTTTCTAATTTCGTTATATGCTGATCTGCATATATTCGTGACATGTTTGTCCATGGAGAGGGTGTCCGTAAGCGTGACTCCAAGTCATACATGTAAATGAATGAGCCATACATGTAAATAGGAGATTAATTTCTCCCTACAGATAGCAGTGCATAACAACATTCATTGTGAAATAAAAAAATAACCAAGTTTACCTAGATGTATTTTTCAAATAATGTGCATCATAGAAATTTTTGAAAACTATCTTGAAATTCAGCTTCAGTCCTATCATTAAAAAAAAAGAAAGAAAAAAAAAAAAAAGAGTAAGATATGAAAAATGAGTTCTATGACATTAGTTACCAGAACTGGATTTCTTTGGTTTGAATTAGGCTGGTTTGAATTAGGCGGGCAGTCACCAGATCCATCATTGGCACGGCTGCTGGTGTTTTCCTGATTCTCTGTTGTGTCTGCCATGGCAAACTGTGAATGAATTTAAAACAAAATAACACTACAACTGGAATTAATAGGCACAGCTGTGTTAAAGTTCAAGACGATTAAAAGAAGAATAAGAAGTGAAAAGAAATTGCCTGACATGGCGGATTGCTACTTGACAATACAAATCTGGTCGAATTCCATGTCATTAAAATGACAGCTTTTACAAATTAGTGCTACTATATTGCACTATTACCAGCAGGCCTAGACCAGGGGTTACCAGTCTTTCTTAAGTGAAGATAAATTTATCAGCTAAGAAAGTATTTGGGGAGTCACAGTGGATGCAGGTTTTTTATTGAAAAGAGCCACGTTTATTTCTTCAAAGTGTGTCCGTAACCACAGTGTGTAGACTGCTGGCCTAGATTTGGACTAAGCTGCACAGACATATTGTTAAAATACTGCTTTTGTGAGTTTAATTCTTAACCAATAATTTTTAAGATACAAAATTCAAATTTGCTGCTGCACTAAATCAGTTACTAAAATGAGTGGTTCTCACATGAAAACTATTCACTATGTAATTGTTTAACTTAAGCAATATTTTGATTATTGGCTCTGTCTAGTTAAAGCCAATTAAGCAGTCCGATGAGTTGTATCTTCATTACTTAATGTTCTTTTATATTCCCATTTGTATGCAACACAAATTTTTTTTAAATGTATTTTTTTAACACCTTTTTTAGTTAAAAATAACTAAACACTCTCATAATTTGTTTATTATCATTTTTTTTGGTAAGTAGCTAAAACAACTCACTCTCCCTATCTCATCCCCATTTTTGTAAACGCAGGCATGTTTTTTTCCCACACACTCCCTTTACCCTCCCCATTTTTGTAGACGCAGGCATGTTTTTTTCCACACACTCCCTTTACCCTCCCCATTTTTGTAGACGCAGGCATGTTTTTGCACTATTTTGTTTCAATGGGATCCCTCTTTATTGCTATGACATGTTTGGGGCTAAAATGCAGTTAGCGTTCATGTCTTCATAGGTATATAGGCTATGGAGGTTCCCCAGTTCAAGATTTTGAAATTTAGCTCTGTATTTTTTATTGGATTATATTTTGTACACTCATTTTTCAAAGTTTTTGTCTTGTGGGGTCTCCCCTCCCCAGAAAATGATGTTGAAATGTCCTGTTAAATTGTTACATTATATAAATGAATAGCATACGGGTACTTTGTTTTCAAACAATAAAAAAAACAGCACCTTAACCATGTGCATGTCTTTTTACTGGTGTTCATCTTGGGGCATCAGCAAGGATTAGTTTCTCTTTTTATTTTTTTTGAAACTTGAAAGTTGAATTTTAATTAAAACTGAATGGAAAATTTCACATTAATTTATTTTATATCACCTGTATCAATTGTCAGATTATGTTTTTGACAAGAATAATGCTTAGTTAAGAACGGAAAAGTTTTCATTCTCATCGTTCAGGTCCAACTGTTTGTTTTGTCTTGAGATTCCCCAAAGTGACGTCACTGTGTTTAGGGTTTGACAAATATTGGCAACAACTATGCCACTAACCGCACATTTACCCATCTGGTGCCATGACCATGGCAACACGGATGACAGCAGTGAAAAAAAGTAGTGAAAAAAACATGTAGATCAGGGAGAAACATTGTGCGTACATTTACCTAATATTCTTTTTTCTGCCATTGTTTTTGACAGTGAATGATTATTGTTTAATAATGTTATAAATTGGACTAAGTCCAATAATTAATAATTGATTACGTCATTTAAGTCAACCCAGATAATTTTAATTCTCTCTGCAAATAAAATGAGTATGAGTTTATTGATATTTTAATTTTAACTAGATACTGCGGTAAAGCAAGGAAGACTACTTTAAAATTTGTATTGGAAATGGGCAGTAAAATTCGACATTTTAATTTTTTAATGTGAGAGTCAATTCATTAATAAATGAGTCCTTTTTACATATAAATGTGTTCCGCTTTTTCACTTTGGAAGACATCTTGTCCTACATTTCCATCCAGCTACTTTTGTTTTTTCAATCGACCTCTATTTGAAAATATATAAGGGATCTTCGCATACAAAATTTTGTGTGAAATAAAAAGAACATGTCTTTCATATTAAATCGAGAAAAGCATTAGATATTGAAGTATACGTGTGCCAATTTTCATTGATGTAGGTCGTGTCCGACGTTTGTTACACTTGTCCCAGTGACCCATATTATCATAAGGTCACTCAGCCTAATTTCGACATGGCTTGGCCCACACCCTTTTTAAAGAAGGAAGTTGCAGATACTTAGGAAATATTTAATTATTACCACTATTTACATCAAAATATTTGATAAGGGGCCATCCATAACAGACGTCCACCAATTTTTTGCTATTTTTGACCCCCCCTCCCCCTTACAACAGATATTTGAACGCATTTTTGAAAATTTATTTTTAGATGATAATCCAGTTAAACAAATATATATATATATATATATATATATATATATATACATATAAATATATATTTACACCCCCCCTTCCCCTTTGTCCACTTTTGACTTGACCACCCGCCCCCCCCCCTCTAGTTGTGGACGTCCAAAACATAAAATTTACCGAACTTAAATTAATGAATATTTTGGGAAAATGTACAACAATATAAAGAGTAAGTATTACAAAGATTTTTTTTTTAGAAATTCCAATTATTTGCAGGCAAAATTCTAAATGAAATAATAACTGTTCAAAAACATTTTATTAAATCCCTGTATTAAAAAATGTAATAAACAAATAATCCACCATTCTTCAATCAACGGAAAATTCGGACTGCAGCCATTCAAACATGTTTTGTATAATGATAACATCTGTTCTTGAGTCTTCAATTGCTAATTCAATTTGAGTGGCAGTCTCTTCGTCTGATTCGTCTGCCATATTATGTTCACTAGCAGGAATATTGCAATGGACGACCTTATGTTTTTTCGTTGCCGCCTGTGATGGGAAATATTTACAGCAGAAACATTCTCTTGGAAATTCTCCCAGCCACCGATGGACAATAGAGATCAAAAGGCATGCTACTGTAACTGTGATTGGGCAGTAAATTTGCAGTAAATTTATGCAAAACTGCTGCACTCAAAAAAACACTACAATGTGGACATCCACTTTGTCCTATACCCCCTCCCCCCCTTTGTCCACTTTAGTCCACTTTTTGCTGAACCCCCCCCTCCCCCCTTTTGTGTGGACGTCTTTTATGGATGACCCCTAACGTGTTTCAGAATGCATTTTGTAGACATTTAATCTGGAATGTTTTAATTTGAGCTTTAAAAACCCTATAGTATAGAGTCCATATTATAAATGATCAGAATTTTCTGTGTGCAACACATTGTCATTGGCAACCATTCACAGCCACTTCCATAATGGCTATATCGTAGTACTATCTCAGAGTTTCATTCATAAGAGTTTGCCGTGTGCAAAAACTATTCATTTGTCAGGGAAAGCTTTAATTAATTATTCATGTGCCAAAGGTGAAAGTTTAAATTACGTCGACCCTAATCAGTATTTTAGTGATAAGGGGGGTGCGTTGCCTTATATAAACTATATAGCCATTGCGCACGACGCGATCAGCGGAATGAGGTCACAAGATGTGGAGGTTTCGTCCATAGGGGATAGTAAAAAATACCAAACGAACTCACACTTTAAAAATTCGTAGCTCAAAAAGTACTATGCTAAAAAACTTGATTCTGGTTTCATTTTTTTAAAATTTGGAATTTGTTCTAAATAACTGTAATATCAAAAAAATTATTTTGAATTTTTTCACTTAATAAAAATTTTAACATTTTAGAAGGGCATACTGAATAACCTATCTGACAAAGTTTAGTAGGCGTAGGGCTATACCAGGGACTGATGGTGACACAAGTGACTCAGAGTGAGACTTACTTCACTCTTGACAGCGTCTGAAGGAATGAGTAATAATTCATTGAATGATATTCAATATTGACAATTCAATTCATTGATTCTAAAAATATGTTAGAATAGTGATGATAGTCTAAGTCTAGGAAACGCTTGCTTTATTGGATGTTCTTTTAAATCTGCTTCATGTACTTTACCTTGAAATAAGCCGGATCAAAATAATATCGTTTATATTAAATCACAATTTAAATTTAGCACAAAGCAGTTACAAGATTTGGGTGATACAGTTGAGTTAATGAGGTGATCTATTCTAAACGATATTTGTTCTCGTCATTTCCACGAAGTATGGCTGATACCATTTTCAACAATGAAAATGTTTTCGTCACAAAAGAGTACACTTGGCCGGTGTCAAGAAAAATAAGCACCTGTTAAAATATTAAACAAAATTTAATGACACGAAGTGAGTTTGAAATTTAAAGTAAACGAGAACATTATTCCCCTACCCCCAAAACAAAAAACAAGCAAACAAACAAACAAAAAAAAACAAACAGAAAAAACAAACAAACAAAAACCATACAAAAATAAAAAATCCAAACAAATAATATTTTAATTTATTATATATCAACAATCTCAATCGTCAGAGATGGGATCCAAGGCACTAACAAACTATGGATCTCTAGCTTCCTCAGCAACCGATGCCAGGCAGTATTTGTGGAAGATACACGCCCCTCCTTTTTCAGTTTTAAGTCAGGGGTTGCCCAGGGTTCGGTGCTAGGCCCATGTTTGTTCCTAGCTTACATTAGTGACCTACCCGAGAAACTGACATCCCAAGCACGACTGTTCGCAGATGACACAGCGGTGTATAGGACGATCGCCAACAGATCAGACCAGGACCAGCTACGACAGGATTTCAATCGGTTAGCTGAGTGGGAGATGAGCTGGGACATGGAATTTTACCCAGTCAGTCTCTAGTTCTACACAACCATTACGAACTGCATGGTCATATGCTTGAACACATTACCTCCGTAAGGTTCCTGGGTGTTACCATTCAAAGGAAGGTCCGCTGAGACGATCCTAGTAACAATGTGTACAACCAGGCCAACAAGACCCTGGGGTTCTTAAGGCGAAATCTAAAGATCGGCAACTCCAGTGTGAAAAAAAAGCCTATAAGGCCTTCGTCCGGGCGCTTTTAGATAACACATCTTCAGTCGACCAGAGGAAAATCGACAGGTTGGAGGCGGTGCAGCGAAGGGCAGCACACTTTGTTCTGAGTCGCTACAGGAACACCTCTAGTGTTGGCAGCATGCTGGAAACACTCGGGTGGTCATTACTGGAGGAACGACGACTGTTATCCAGGCTCTCCATGATAGACGGGATACGAAATGGACTGGTCCACTGCTCCAACATCAAACAGAAACTCGTCCCTCTCCCCCATAAACAGCGACGAGGCCATGACAGGCATTTCTGGATCATAAGATAAGATACGATTCTTTTATTGATCCAAATAAACAGCAAGAACACAGTACAGGAACTGCTCATTCCTGCCAAAGACTATCAGGGACTGGAATAAGCTTCTAAAAGGAACAGCTGAGTGGACAACACTTGACATATTTACGTCTATTGCCTCAGGCCTTCTAACCCCCTGTTCCTGATAGCCTCGCTGAGTAGCCCTTGCAACCAGTGAAACATCCTCTTCAATACCAGGCACACAAACATTGCGAATCCCCTCTACATACATAGGAGCCAGAATGATCAATACATTGATTGTGAGCCCTTGATATATATATATATATAAAGAAAACAAGTAGGTAAGCAATAAAAAAAATCCAAACAAATTTAATGGCCAGGACTATAACATACATATTGTCGCCCAATGTGCAAAATGGCCGAAAAATGTAGCCAAGGTCCGATGTACTTAAAATGACAAGACTTTGGTCGGCTTTTTCTCGAAGTGGCAGCAAATTTCTGTCCAAAATTCGATGAGCTGATGCCAGACTACTTTGCATTTTTCATGAACGTCGAGGTTGTGGAGGCCTCTAGGAGCCGAGCATGGTGTTCTCAAACAGCGCCACTTCCTGAATGCAAAGTGTACATTCTGCACGTGAAAATGCCCACACTTGGATCCATGAGCACATAAGACTAGCCGATCACCTCATGCCTTTTCGTAAAAGGACCGACCAAACAGCAAAATCGAGAGAATATCGGACTTGGGCCGATTATTACTTTTGCCAACCATTTCGCGATCTGACTGATTTCGAGTTTGGACAGTAACATACACAAATATTAGCTGAATTAATTGAAGTGGAGACAGTAAGTATCTTTGACCAACTCATGACTCTGTACAAATGGATCAGGTAGCTGTCTTCCATATGTCTCTGCACGACTCTCCAGCCTGTATCCTTGTATTTGATTTTTAAATCCCATATGTATAAGGCTAGGACTAATAAATTTCCATATTGCATATTTTTCCAGACCCCAAGAAGAATTGTTTAATGTCCATAGATTTCAAGCAGAGCGACGTGTTGCATTCAATACAGAGACAGACATTTCAAGCAGAGCGACGTGTTGCATTCAATACAGAGACAGACATTTCAAGCAGAGCGACGTGTTGCATTCAATGCAGAGATACATGACACCGAGTAGTGTAGCTCTTTGACGTGTGCACGCTCAGTTCTGTCTAGAACCAGCTTGTTCCTATCTCAGCTCTGAATCAATAGTCTTCTCTATTCTTTTAAATATTTGTATAGGTTATCGCAGTTTATCAGCGATTCCTTTCGATCTAAGCCATTAAAAAACAACACCAAATTTTTTATCTATAAACTTTCATTAATTCCTTCAAGCACTTCATCTCATTTTCATATGGGCAATGGTTGTTGTTTGAAATTGCTCGGAACCACACGACTCCTTTGAAAATTTAAAGTTTGATTTGTCAGCAGAGTCTGGGTCATTCATCGAATTTCGGCTCTATAAGATACATGAAAGTTGATCAAAATTTCAGCAGCATAAGACATGTGGTAGTTGGTTAAAATTGGCTTAAAAGAAGTTGCACCATAAACCAAGACATGTTAATTTAATCTATTTACATTCACAATTTATCCACAATGGTACCACACCATATCTCTGGATGTCCTTTGGCGAATACTAGACATTTTGACCACAATGGGATGTTGGGTCTTTACAAAAAAATGTTCCTAGAAACTTAAATCACGCAATGCTAAATAAAAACTAAAAATACACAAGCCCAGGGGAAATAATTAATTACACGACAGAAGGGGAACAACTTTAAACCTTATTTCCAAACACGAGACTTAAGTGATGTTTGATTTGGTTTCAGCGCTCACAACTGAATCTCCCAAGGATGAGATTCGAAACTATAAAAAGTAGTGATCGCATTTTGTTACTGTCGCACAGTCAGCGCAAGGTCATATCTTTACAAAAAATTCAAAAGTTACTGAAACTTCTTTGTCTGCTCCACCCTTCACTGGAAATTATCATCTAGGACAATTTTAAAACTTTTTAATGGCACACGCACACATATCTCTTTGTCTCATACCATCTCTCATACCATCTCTCGTACCATCTCTCGTACCATCTCTCGTACCATCTCTCGTACCATCTCTCATACCATCTCTCATACCATCTCTCATACCATCTCTCATACCATCTCTCATACCATCTCTCATACCATCTCTCATACCATCTCTCATACCATCTCTCATACCATCTCTCATACCATCTCTCATACCATCTCTCATACCATCATTAAACACATGGGAAATAAAAGGTCTCCGGAAATGATCAGGACCAACACAGGGTGATTTTGGTGGAGAATACGAACCAACCAATAATATTATAGACTATATAAGAATCTCACGCTTGTAGCAGAAATACAAAATGGCAGGTTATGCTGGGCTAGACACTTAGAATGAATGCCATATGACAGAGGAGTGAAGAGGGTGCACCACCGAAATCCCAGAGGAAAACGTCTGAAAGGCAGACCTGTGCTTAGATGGATGGATGATGTGGTAAAAGATCTACCGCAGCTGGGAATCCAAGCTTTGGAAAGAAAAGCATCGGTTAGGTATGAGTGGAAGGAAGTGGTGAGGCAGGCCAAAGCCCTACATGGGCTGTAGCGTCACAGAGGAAGACCTTTAACTCATCAGAATGAGATTATGGTTAATCATTGTAGGAATCACAAGGATCTGATTGTCACTATCTGATGTTATTTTTAGATCCAGTGTTATGGTGATTTCTGATGTTATTGTGATATCTGATTTTATTGTTATATCTGAAGTTATTGTGATATCTGGTGTTATTGTGATATCTGATGTTATTGTGACATCTTATGTTATCGTGATATTATATGTTGTTGTGATACCTGATGAAAGATTTCAGCCAAAAACTTTTTTTCATTGTCTTTTATTTGCATCCAAGCTGTCACATAATTTATCATTTTCATACTATTTAGCAGAGAGCTGCAAGCGCGAAGGTTCGTCTACATCACATGTGTCAAACTCAAGGCCCGTGCTACATCACATGTGTCAAACTCAAGGCCCGTGGGACACAACGGGCCCGCCGTATAATTATAGCAGGCCCACGAGGTCTTGACTGGCTTACAATTATATCCAAGTCAACGCTGTGGTGTTTCCCAGTGCACACTTTGCTGAAAAACTTTGCTAGCTTACTTCGTGCCGAGTTCACAAGGCGCTTTAGTGACTTTGAAGCACAGAAATGTAAATTCGAGCTGTTTTGTAACCCATTTGTCATAGACGTGGAAACTGCACGTGCATAATTTGCAGATGGAGCTAATAGAGCTGCAATGTAATGGGACACTAAAGGCAAAGTACGACACTGTGGGGCCTGCACAGTTCACTCGATTCATTCCTGAAGAGATGCCCTAGCTTTGTCTACATGCGTCTCGAATCGAACCCTGAGCATGTTGGGTAGCACATGTATATGTGAGCAGCTGTTTTCTGTGATGAAGATGAACAAAGCATCAAACAGTAGTCGTCTCACTGATTAAAAATTGCAGTCCATCATGAGAATCTCAATGACACAGAACGTTATTCCCAACAGAAACGAACTTACTTGTTTTTGTAGCCAAGAAAATGTGACAAACATCAAACTCTGACTAATTGGCATGAGAACGAAAATGGGTAGGCCTATGATTTTTAATTATTAAAACTCTTGCCTGTTTTCATTTAAATAAATTTAAAAAAAAAAAAAAAGATTAATTTTCCGCTTATTGAATATTTATCTTGTTGGGCCCCTAACCTTACATGTGATTTGAGTTTTGGCCCACCAAACGATTGAGTTTGACAACCCTGGTCTACATCATCCTGGTGTAATTCAAACTTATTGTTTACTAT